AGTTTGAGTCAGCGTGGACTTGCAGTGCAGCGTCGTAAATTTGGCTGAGTTGGAAAACTGTTGTTAGACGGCATTCGGACTGACATGTAAGTATTTGCAGCCACACAATATTCACTAAAAATGTAAAGCCGCCATATGGATGGATTTATAATTGAATCATTATTAAAAAGAAATAAATAAACCCTGCAACAGTGTAAATATTCAAATAATAGTAGCCAAGGCAATTAAATTTTACCATTGTTCAGCTCGTCCGTATCTCCTCCACCACCTGTTATGCACAAAATGGAAGCAGAAAAGGTACACATGACCCTCTGGGTCAGTTATTAGCTTGTATGTGAATATTATAACAGTATCAGTATTATATAATATATTGGCTAACATTATTTAAGTGTAGGCTATAGTTTGGTACATATCATGGATGTATAAAGTCAATATTCCAACCTCAGCTGGAGTTCAGTTGTCCTCAGTAGAGTTTTTCTTTTCATACTTTGTTTTTCTAACTTCCTTTGATGCCACTTTTTGGGCTGCCAGATAGAACCAGTTGGGTGAATTGGACCTGGGATGTCAGTGTTACCATTTCTCAATGTTGTGAACTCTAGGGACCAGACCTCGAAACCGCGAATATATTGGTGCAGGATATCAACCCTTGATCATTCCTACGCTGTGATTGGCGAGAAAAGAGCGAACCCCATCATTAGATGATTTCTTTGCTTGTGTCTGCACTTATTTGAACATTAGATTAATAAGTGATGGCTATAGTGTTTATATATTGGAAATTCTTTGTGTTTATTTTTTGTAGGTTACTGTACGTGTCCGCTTTTATGAGGACACAGTTGTTTTGACTGCTTTGTAAAAAACGATCCAACTGACCATGTACATGTGATACGAAATTATACAAAAATATTGTACAAAAAAGTCTCATTACAGCAAAAAGAAATGCCATTTAATTGACTTTATGCAATAAAGTGGCCCTTTGTTCACGGATCATACATAAACCAAAAACAATAAAATGCCCCACTATTCATGGAAAATATAAAGAACGCCTTTATTTTTGTAGACACTCCCTGCAATTCCATTGACACACTAAACCTGTATATGAGGCTTATCCCAGTTTTGAGTATATTCGGGATATGGTGTTTACATGAGCACAGAAAACCTCCAGTTAGCATATTGGGGTTTGTCAGGTCTGCAGGTGGGATTTGAGATGGGATTTGGCGGATGTTATGCTGTCAGACTGTCGTATGTGTGGGGGTAGGGAGTTCCAGAGCCTGGGGGCAGAGCAGTGAGGTTGAGGAGGGCTTTGAAGGTGAGCAGAAGGTTTTTGTAATCAGTCTGGTACTGAACAGGGAGCCAGTGTAGTTGGATGAGAATGACTTATGACTAATTTTGGTTAAAAGGGGTTCAATTGCAGTAGAGAAGCAATGGTAAAATTAAAATGAAAAATAATTCCTTTCCTTTTATGGCCTGAAATTGTTCGTTGTTAGCGACAAAAAAAAATGGCAAAAATGTAGTTAAACTACTAGTTTAAGTACTTGTAGTTCACTACTCCCCAACATTGTTGATACCAATATGAAGCTACAGCCAGAAGTTAGCTTAGCATAGCATATTAACATTCTGAAACTTGTCTGGCTCTGTCTGAAGCTATCAAAATCCACCTACCAGCAATTCTGAAACTCTGGACAATGCCAAGCTAGCAGTTTGCACCTGTTTCCAGTCTTTATGCAAAGCTACGTAAGCTAAGCAGCTGCCAGTGATAGCTGCATATTTACTGTATACAGTAGACTAGTCTGTTTGCCAAAATGTGAAACTATGATATTGCAGTGAATATAAAGGAGAAGTTTATGTTCAGGTTAAAGCAGAATAGCTGATCTGCCCATATACTGTCTATCATCAGTCTGTGTGAGTGAATTTCCCAAAATAACTGGAACCCTTTTCTCAAAAATCACATATCTTGTGTCTACTTTGCAACATTGCTCATTAAGGCTTCAGACTACAACATAAAGGACCAAGTAATGCAGTCAACTCACTGTCTGTGCCCAGCATAAAAGCTGGTGAACTTTCCTTTAAGGACAGACATGCCTGAGAACAAATTAAGAGCACTGTCAGAGGAGTAGAGTGTGGATATCCTCACAGGTATAGTTATAAAGACTGTTTGTGTATGCATGTGTGGGTGGCTGCCTTGTCTCTTCGCAGCAGTTCTGATCGCTTGAATGAAATGTTTTCTGTTGTCAGCCGAGTCCTTGTGTGTGGGGGACGACTCATTTTGTTTTGTTCTCATAGTCGGCACTGTTGTTTGGTAAACAGCCAGCGCTCAATATGAAACAGCTCGTACAGTCCACACACTCATCCCCCTCTTTGACATTTTGCTTGTTGATTGTGCCACAACATGCTTTCAGTCTGTTAAGTAGGGCTTGGTATGGAAACTCCGTAGTACTGTGTAGTATCAGTAGTGTTGTTTACTTAATGTTGGGGCTGGGCAATACATCAATATGACATCAACATCCTGATTTTAGGCTAGATATCGTCTTAGATGTTGGATATCGCAATATAGTAAGTGTTGTCTTTTCCTGCTTTTAAAGGCGGCATTACAGTAAAATGATGTAATTTTGTGAAATGATCAGGCTGTTCTAGCTGTTTATTGTTTGCCTTTACCCACTTAGTCATTTTATCCACATTACTGACAACTATTTATCAAAAATCTCATTGTGTAAATATTTTGTGAAAGCACCAATAGTCACTCTGCAATTCTGATATCAAGGCGTTTGGTCAAAAATGTTGTGATATTTGATTTTCTCCATATCGTGCAGCCCTACTTAATATGTATTCAGATGTTAACTGTTTAAAAAATTACAATTTTGATGATTTTTGACAATTTAATTTGAATTAAATCCCTATAAGTTTGCTTGTGTTTCAACACAACAGTTTAAAAGTTTGCCTTCCCACAAAGTAAGGTGATTCTGGTCTTGGTACCAAAACGTCATCTGCATGGGTATTTAAAAATTTCAGAAAATGCCAGTACCAGTGTTAAGTGTAAAATGTTGATGGATATTAGAAAGTAATCTGATAACATAAAAGATTAAAAGTGTTTTAAAACAAGATATAACATGATAATCAGTGAGCTTTAGAGGTGTTGCTAGCTTGAATTGTTACAATTAGACAGAGCCAGGCTAGCTGCTTCCCTGTGTTTCCAGTCTTTATGCTAAGCTAAGCTAACTGTCTTCTTACTGTAGCTCCATTTTTACCATCTAGACATGGAGGTGGTGTCAATCTTCTTATCTAAGTCTTGAAGAGAAAGGCAAGGAGCGTGCCATGAAAATTTTGATTAAGTTGCATCATGGGAATTGCAGGATCCAGCATCGTTAGAGCTTGACACATACCATGGACTAAAAGTAAGCATGTCTCAGTTCCTGCTGTACCAATTTGGACCCTTCATTTTTATGTCTTCTTGACAGCAAAGCCATGGTCGGAGGCATTATGTTTTCGTGATGTCTGTCCCATTCTCATGAGCACGATATCTCAGGACTGCCTTAATGGAATTTCATTATTTTTTGGCACAAATGTCCACTTGGATTCAATGATGAAGTGATTAGAATTTAGTGGTCAAAGGTTGTGACCTCACATTACAAATTTGTGATGAACTATTTATTTTTAACAAAAATAAACTCTAACAAAAATAATGACGTAGCTCGCGTCGCAATAGATTTAAAGGGAAAGGATTGCCTCAGGTATCGGTTGCATTTTCCGATACCCGATCCATCTATTTTGATGATATCGGGGCCGATATTCGTTCCAGATTTTGGATCAGTGCATCCCTAGTCATATCTCAGGAACAGAAGGGAAGACATTTGGTCGGATACTGAATTGGTGACACTGATGTTGAAACTGTGTTGATTGTATAGATCTTCTGTGCTGCCTGGTTGAGGATGTGTGAGAAGAATCCTTGTTTTTGGGTACGTAGCTGTGATTGTTTGTGGAGGCATACAACCACGAGGTGGTAACACTAGTTTAAAGGGCAGTAGTTAATCTCTGGACTACCCCTTTAAGAACATAACAGACAATGGAGCTTCTAGTGTGGCCTTTGTTCCCCTTGTACAGTAGTTGAAAGTGAGAATGTCCTCATCTAACCTTTTTATAATGAGATGAAGCTGTTGGAAAATTAGTGGACTCCAAATTTAAACGAGAATGATTAATTTAGTAAAAACCTTTTCCTCCTTCTGGGTGCTGCCTTTGATTAGGTTAATTATGCCTGTCTCTTACCTCACATAGCTAAAAAAAACAAGTATCTATCAGAGTGGTAAGGTCTGAGGTCAGTCAGATGATGACAGCTTCCTGCTGTGTGCTCATTATGACAGAGTGACACAGAGGTGAAGCATGGACGGAAGTGTAGGAGAGCGAGAGAGTGCGATGCTGTAGATGGAGAGAGAGAGAGAGAGATAGCAGAGGAGAAATCCCATGCTCACTCACTCCCACACCTTTTTTCTCTTGCTGTATTCTGGCTCTGGTACCTCACGCTGCTGCAGTGAGACTCCAGCAAGCAGCGAGTGACGCTAAGATTTCCTCACTGTCTCTCTCCTCAGAGAAAGATCTTTTCTCTCTGGCGTCCTTTTCAACTTATCTCGTCTTGTGTTTGGGGACAGCAGTCACGTCCTGAGGGAAACAACCTCTTACCTGTCTGTCAGAAGGCTTTTTCTTTGAGTCTTGAAGGAGGAAGCCTGTTGATTTGATTTAGTGTGGACTTGGGATTCTGAAGATTTTTTCAGCAACGATCGAGCTGATCATCACTTTTTAATCTCTGCTCATGCTGGATGTTTGACTTGCTGTCCTTGTTTCACTGGAAATCAAAGATTATCGGTTCTGGACTCACAATGGATCGAGGTGGATCTGTGATATAGATCCTTCCTCTTTCCTACTCCTTTATTTTCTGAGGCAACTCTTGCGGACAACAAACTAACATCACCCCCTTTTTATTTCCTCCCTTCACATGCCACCATGTTTGCCAGAATCTTCATTCCCAAGAAGCACCGACAGCGCTTCGACGAGTCCGTGAACCAGAACGTGATCAACCGGCTCTGCCGCAGCAAGAGCATCAGCGAGCCGCAGGGCAGGATCCGGCGCAGTCGGAGCGAGGATCATTCAGACCGCCACCATGGGTCCAAACGGGCCAGCTCAGTGCCCAGAGATGGAGAACCCGGAGGGAGGGGTGAGGGGGAAAGAGACAGGGGCTTGAGGAAGTCCGTCTCTGGGATGCCTGCACATCCCCCGATAGGACCCAATCAGAGGTGAGTACACATGTAATATGATGATAACTGAGTGGCTCTTAAGAGTTGTTTGCTGTTGGAAACCTGGCCACTGACACATTCATCTCAACACATAATACAGCAGCAAACAATTTACTTTGCTTTTCAGACATTTAACAAGCACAATGTTTTGAAAATGTTTACGAAACAGAGGAAAATGTGTCTCTTTTTCCATCCTTTCTGTTTTCTTCCGTTCTCAAGCTCACTTTTCCTCTGAGTCTTGTCACAAAGCTGAACTTAAAAAACCTCAAATCGTGTCAATAACATGTTTTCACACCCTACAGTATGAGTTAGAAAGTGCTCAGGCACAGTTTTCACTTCGTCTCCAGCTCCTTGAACCTGAAACTACCATCTGATTGTTTGTTTTTCCTCATCTGTTGGACAAGTTAATTCTGCACTGTAGAGGTGTCACAATACTCGATTTTTTAACTTTGATACAATGCCTTGAAAAATATCAATATTTCAATCAATTCAAAATCTTTATTGAAAGTTAAATTTAACAAGGTTATATCATGACAATGACTTTCCTTTCCTTGGTTAGTAGCAGAGAACAAGGTGTAGTTATACTGTGAAAAATTAGCACTGAAAGCATTCAAAATATTCAGAATCTGCACTGATAAATCAATGTTTTCGACAATGCCACCGCACCATTGTAGAGCCCCTGACCATTCAACCTGTACCGCTCTTCCTCCACCCACTAACAAGCTGATTACACCACTGTCCAATTAATAACGCCACAGTGGACTTTAGTGCAGGATTATAGGGGTGGCAGGCAGTGCGCTCCCACACTCCCACACAAACTAACTGACCAATCCCCCAAGATCTGTCTCCAGCCACATGGGAGCGAAAAAACACGGCCGAATATGTCTAAGTGTAATCATATTGGCAGGTCACGCGACAATAGGAGGCAAGCTGTGAGTGTTATAATGGGAGAGATTACGTCATGTGGTGTAAGTGGCACAGTCACAATAAGTAGTTGTGCTGCGTGCTTGTGCCTTCCCCGAACTGAACTGAATAATACCTCTCGAGAGTGTTGTGTAACACTATTGTCTTTCCACACTAACAAACTAGATAGACGGATGGATGGGTGAAACATGCTTCACAACTCATTTTCAAAAACAGTGAGATTTTTTTTAATGCATCCGCCCCCAGATGTGTTAAAAGTGGTGTTTTAGTTGGTGATGGTGTGACTACAGGAGGGCTCATTGGTTCAGATACTCAAAATCAATCACTGTAGATTGGCAATTTAGTCATTTTAGGCCAATATTGGAGCTGCTACACAATGAGCCAGTGGTTGATGATTCGGTGGTTCCATTAAGTAGTGACAGACTGACTCATTTGGGTTGTTATGTAATATTTTTTGGGCTAGATCACTTCATGTAAAACCATGTAAAAGTGTAAAGTAGTGCCGACTGATGGGAATCAGGAGTCGAGGCCTTTAGCGGCCTGATAGCCTCTCAGTTTGCCAAGTGTGCTCAAGGCTGATGCTGCGCCTCTTATTGTGGCTGCACAGCCCAACACCCCCAGCGCACACACATGGACACACTCGGCACCCAATGTGCCCATCTGCATTTAGCTCGGCTTACATAACAGCCAGTAACCACAGCGATCAAACACCAGATCTTTATGTTTTCTCTCTCTCTCCCCCCCTCCTCGTCCTTCTTTTCTTTTTTTTTTCTTTTTTTTTGTCTTTCCCTGTTTACATATCGAGGCAGTGTTGCCTTGAGTCGTTTCTATGGCAACGCACTGGTGGATAGACACCAGAAGTGTCTCATCTTTGATTTAACGTGAGGTTCCACTGTGCACTCCTCCACTGGGGTGAATCAGAGAAAAACACCACCATCAGCAAAATGTCAAAGCTTTTTTCCTATGTTGAGTTTGACCTGAATTATTTTTGTTTGGGCCGGAAGCTGGAGAATAAAACACACAGAGAGACATGTGGAGTGATTTGGAGTTGAAGCTGCTCTAGTTGGGATTGTTATGTAAAAAAAAAAAAAAAAAAAAAAGCCATTTTATCAGCGTAAGTCACAGTGTTGGATCGCAGTAAAGTCGAGCGTCATGGCCACACTTGTTCTGACTCCCACCTGCAGGAAGTGACAAATCAAAACAAAGGCGATGTACAAACAGCCTTGTTGACAGCAGTGAGTGAAGGCTCCATCATCTAGAGACAGCTGGGCTCCTCGTCCATTCACAGAAAGACTGTTAAGCATCAGCATTGTCGAATGATGTCAGAATCGATGCTGAAAGCCATTGTAATTAATGAATAATCATTTAATCAGTCAAATGCTGAATAGTCTCTGAATCCCGCTTTTCAAATGTGACACCTTTCTTTGTCTTCTGTAATTCTATATCTTTGGGTTCAGGACTAGGGTTTTGGACAAATAAAGCAATTTGGAGATGTCTCTAGGACATTGTGATCGTTATTTGTTGACATTTTATCAACCAAATGATTCAAACAGATTCACCCATTAAATATTAATAAGATATTAACACAAAAAACAAAAGAAATCTGCAAAGCTTTTGGCATTAATGATGAAAAACAAACTTTATGATTAGAGCTGCAATGATTAACCAATTAGTTGTCAGCTGCTTTACATTAATCGTCAGCTAATTTGATAATCGATGAATCAATTTGAGAAATTTTTTAAGGAAAAAAGTCCAAATTCTCTGATTCCATCTTATAAATGTGAATATTTTCTGGTTTTTTTTTTTGTTGTTTTTTTACTCCTCTAAGACTGTAAACTGAACATCATTGGGTTTAGGACTATTGTTTTGACAAATTAAGGAATTTGGACATGTTTCTGGGAGATTTTAATTGCTATTTGTTGGCATTTAATAAACTTAATGATTAAAATGGTTGCCCCGCAAAAAAGTACTATGATTTTAACATACGAAAACAAAAGAAGTCTGCAAAGCTTTTGGCATTAATGACGAAAAAAACAAAATTTATGATTAGAGCTGCAATGGTTAATCAATTAATCAGTTATTTGTCAACTGTTACGTTAATCAACAACTAATATGATAATTGATTAATTGGTTTGAAGATTTTTTTAAGTAAAAAAAATTCCACCTCATAAATGTGAATTTATTTCTTTTCTTTTTTTTCTTTTTTTTTTTTTTTTACTCCTCTATGACTGTAAACTGAATATCTTTCAGTTGCGGTCTGTTGGTTGGACAAAGAAAGCGATTTGGAGAAGTTTTTTGGAGATTTTTTCACCATTTGTTGACATTTTATCGACCAAATGACCAAAACAGTTCCCCTGCAATAAGGTAATATGATTGTAACATACAAAAACAAAAGAAATCTGCAAAGCGTTTGACATTAATGACGCAAAAAACTAACTTTATGATTAAAACTGCAATGATTAATCGATTCATCAATTGGTTGTCAACTATTACATTAATTGCCAACTAATATGATGATCAATAAATCGAATTTGCATGATCTTTTAAGACAAAAAAAGTTCAAAGTTCTCTGATTCCACCTTTTAAATGTGAATATTTTCTGGTCTCTTGACTCCTCTATGACTGTAAACTGAATATTAATGGGCTGTGAACAAAACAAGACATTCAAGGACTTCATCTTGGGCTTTTTTACCATTTTCTGACATTTTATAGACCAAACAACTAATCGATTAAACAAGGAAACAATGAAAATATGTGTAAGTTTCAGCTCTATTTATGATATTGCGTCTTAGCTAAAGTTGTATGAAAACAGTTTTTCATATGAACTTTTGATCTCAAATGTACTATGTCATGATGTAATCACTCAATACGTATTTTCATGACGCTGCTGTCTGTAAACCCGTTATGTATTTGCTCATCTCACTTCCTGCCTTTCGTCAGGATCGTTCGTGTATACCGGGGGAAGAAGAACTTCGGCTTCACGCTGCGAGGTCACGCCCCCGTCTGCATCGACTCCGTTATCCCAGGTACTGCTTCTATATAAAAACCCGTACAGTACAGTCCTGATAGATGCCTACTCGCTGTGTGTGTGTGTGTGGTGGTTTGACCCAAACGTTGTTCTGTGTTGGCTGGCGAGGGGGGGTGGGGGGGGCGGATGCGTTTTATGTGGGTGAGTCTGTTGTGGTGCCAGCCGCTGGGGGGTTGAAGGTGATCAGGAGGTGTGTGACTATGAGTGTACCAGGAAGTGGATTAGTATGAGTCACCCAATGAAATGTTAAGAGGAAAACACTTAGAACAGGCTGTTCTGTGCAGTAACAGACACTTAAAGCAGTCAGTCAATGCTGCGCTGTTACATTCATGTTCATTCTTATAATCAGTACAAATCACACAAACTGTCAGGATGCATTATGGCTTCGTAAAAAAGATGAAGAAAGGCAAGTACAAATTCAAACTCAGATTTAAATTCTGATAAAAGCTCCCTTGTTTTCAGACTGACTACCTTTTATGTCTTGAGCTTATCTAATTAAGACATTAGACTATCTAATGGATTAATTTTACAACCCTAAAGTGGAAATAGGCACCTTTTTTGCTTTAACTTATCATTATAAAATGAATATTGATTACATAATGTAATGGCAATAGAATAATGACACCATCAGGGTTTAAATTGGCTCCCTATGAGCTTCGTTGTCACTATGCAATAGACCTTTTTCACAGCAGACATTCTGATTTGTCACAAACATTAAGACTGGCTTACTTCCAATTAGTGTGCCAGTAAGCTATGTCAGTGAGCCAGCATGCACAGTATCAAGGCCTCCTATTAGTGGAATGCAGCTATCATTAATGTAAATAAATAGACCTGTGTTTTCGTGCTCTTACATGTCAGATTGTGTACTGTGCGAAGGCTTTATTCTGTCTGCCACTGGGTACGATCTCCTGGGAAAATGACGGTTCAGTTTGAGGCACAAAGGAAGTGCATCAGCCACCGCGCAACCAAAACAGAAAGAGGATAGTGCCTTTGTTTACCATTGTATGTATGTATACCATTATATAGTGACATCAAAATCATTTCCTTAAAGGTATACTCTGCAGGATTGTCGGTTACTGTTTGCAAAAGCTTGCCAGTGTAGGTGAAAGTAAAAGCGAACCCCAGATTGGCTTTTGGCGCTGTATCTCTTGGATCTGCTGCTCACAGTTTGGCACCCGGTTGCTGTCTTTTGATAAAGCCCAGACTTCACCTAACCGCTGTGTGGGTACACACCCATAAACGACCTGAACACAGAAAAGAAGAAGAAAAGAAGAATATACAGACAGAGGGCAGAGTCACTGCAGAAAAAATACACCACTGCACACTTCTAGTGGGTCTTAAATGATGGTTTTAGTGAAGATTCTCAGTCATCCAGGTCATGGTAATCATAAGTGCTATATCTTCTTTGGTTAAGAAGCCTCTTGGATGAGCGGTGAAACGTCTTCAAGAGACTCAAGCAAGTCCATTTGCCTACGATATAGCACTTAAGGTCATAAGTGATGATTGAGAGGGATTACTTGTTTTTTTTTTGTTTGTTTTTTTAGGAAAGTCCTGCAAAGTATACCTTTTAAAAAAAATAGACATTTTGGGATCCCACTTATTTGCTTTGTTGAGGAGAGTTAGATGAGAAGAATGACACTACACTGGTAGCTGTGCGGTGAATATAAATCCAAAGCCACCTCCACCAAAACACCCCCAAAACTCAGAAACTATCATGTTATATCTCTGTAAGCCATATTTTTACATTTTTAAGTGTAAGAACGACCATTTGTGGTTTTATTTTGTTACCTTTGGACAAAGCCAAGTGAGCTATTTCCCACATAGATTTGAGAGAGTGTTATCAGTTTTTTTTTTTAATCTAACTTTAATCACGAAAGCAAATGCGTGTATGTCCCAAACTGTCAAACTATACCCTTAAAGTTATTGAATTGTTTGTATCGTCCAGTCTTACTACAGAATGTTTCTAGCATCTGGTGTCGATTTACAACATAACATAAAAATAACTACAAAGCCCTATGTATTGGTTTCCTATGCAGATTTTTTTATTGTCTATTTTTAATCAATAGTGTCGCTGCACCAGCACTCTCCACTGCTGAATAAGTGTTTGGATAAAACAATGTCTGCTTTTTACCAGCAAGGATATTGGCTCAAAAATGAAACTCACTGTTAAATATTTGTGGGGTTAATTGCTGCTAAGAGCTTTTGGTAAAAGCATGTTAATTACTTCCATGTTTTCCAGCAGTAAAATGTTGTTTAATTAACTGTTACTGCTCCACCAAATAAAAGCAGGAGACAAGAGAGGCTGCGAAGATACTGTTGAGGGAATTTGCCAGGTTCCACGGTGATGAGGGAGGTGTGTGTGTGTGTGTGTGTGTGTGTGATGATGATGACTGCACTGTTCCCGCCCACCATCATCTCCCACCATCATGTGCTGTAGCGGGCCAGCGCGGACTGACTCAGTGGGCCTTATGGAGGTTGATATGAAGATAGTGGGGGTGGTAGCATGTCTCTCGTCGTGATCTGCACGCAGATCCTTCACCGATGAACCAGGACAACTTTGATTTCGAGTCTGTCTCGTGGCCCGTGAATGTGCGCACGCTACTTTCTCACATGAGGAGTTTGTCACATCCAAACTCTGGGTTAAGAAAGAACAATAGCATGACATTCGATGAAAGGAGAATTCAGCTGTGATTTGACAGATGAGGAGGCGATGGTGGATGGGTACAGTGCAGTCGGGACAGACTCCACCGGGGATTGTTTTGACAGCACTGTTTCCTTACGTAATAACAATTTAGCATGGAGATCATCAGTTTGTTGATGGGCTTTGTTGGACGTCAGATTGACAGCTTCACATTAGTCACCATCTTCCCCGGCTCTGCCCGTCTGTTCAGTGCACCTTGTTAGCTGGTGAGGTTGTGCCAGGATCCCTTTTTTAGTCTCTGATTATCTGCCATCTTTGTCTCCCTCTCAGATAGTCCTGCTGAGGAGTGTGGACTGAAAACAGGTGATCGTATCCTCTTCCTCAATGGACTGGACATGAGGTTTGTCTTTGATGGATTTAAAATTATTATAATTATTTGTAGCAGCAGCAGCAGTAGTTGTAGTAGTAGTATTTTGTCTTTGCCTTCTCTCCAAGTTCTTGAACTAAGGCGGTATATTTAGAGATGGCTTGTTTTTCTCCAGGAGAAACCATCTGCTGCTCATGTGAAAACCATCTTTCACTGTGCCAGACAGTCCATCACAGAGCACATGAGTACTTTTATTTGGGTTCGGTTATAGTCTCCCTTCAATCATTTCACTGTTTTTGGAGCTGAAGTTTGTTGCGTCCGCCTCCTGTCAGTCATCCTCAGGAGAAAATGAAAGTCTCAGCTATGAAATAAACCCTCAAAACTGTGCAGCTTTACTAAATGTATCAAACTCCTCTGATGCTGGAAGTATTTGTGATCCAGAGGAAAGAGCCAGATTTTTTCCCTTCACCCCCAAACCCCCTTTTTTTCATTAGTTTTCCAAAGGAAAAACATACATGCAAACATTCCCTGTAAAATGCATCACACACCAAACAAGGACAAATAACCATAGGCTGTATAAAATGATGAATGTAGCAACCGTGATGTCACTTAGTGGTTTGTGGACTTCCGTTTTGAATTGTCAAGTTTGGCATTTCAGCTGTAATCATGTTGTTTTTTTTAAGCCACAAGTGACCAGTTTTGGACAAGAGGGTGGATCTGACTGACAACCTGTCACTCAAAGTGGCCACCCCCCTAGTTATGTATACCCTAAAATTTCAATTAATAGCCTGGGCTATTATTTGCTTAAATCACTGATATCAACGGGCCTATATTTGGGACGGGCTTCTACATGGGACAGGCCTTTAATTCCTTTCACACAAAACTGTTGCTCAGCAAAGATTGGGTAATACAATCAAATTGTTTATTTAAACCAGTATGAATATTACTTGATTAAAAATAAGGCTTCAGATAATATATCAATTATGAATCATTCATTTGATCTAGCTCCGACAGACAGTGCATCAGAGAGAGTGAATTACAGCACTCAAGGATTACAGCACCCAGCATACCGACACAACACCACTTTATCCTGTTAAAACAATACTGATATATATAATTTTTATGAAAAACCCTTTTGATTCTTTCTTTTGATCTGAGGACCCTTATGGACTAAAGGAATATGAATAACTTGTCGGGTAATTGAAGAATGGACACATAATTTGAGGTAGCTAACAACTCGGTTTTGTACATCCAAAGAACTTCTATTAAAGAAATTAACTGCTTGGCAACCAGACCAGGCCTCTATTTGAGACAGGCCTTTATTTGTCAAAATGTGTAGCCACACCGGTCTAGTAAAAGGGACTGGGCATTTAATCTAAGTTTTACGTTAAATTTAATCTTTAACAATATGTAAATGTGTGAGTTATATAAAAATGTACAACCTTTACAGTTGTCATTAATGTTGAAATTAGCGTGAGAGACCAAAACCTTTTTTATACCAGGCTGTAAACATGTTTATTACTGCTGTAAAGTCGGGCATTTTAACTTGGGGGTCCATGGGGATTGGCTCACTTCTGGAGCCAGCCTCTAGTGGCCATTCGAGGAACTGCAATTTTTGGGACTTTAGAGCTGGCTTCAGTTTTCAGCTCTGGAGGCTGCTGCTTGGATATAACAGAGGTAGAGCATTACATACAGTATATATTCTACATCAGTGGTTCCCAACTGGTGGGTTGTGGTCCAAAAATGGGTCACAGGTCCACTCTGAATGGACCTCACCTGACTTGCAAACAAGTTCAAGTTTGAAAAAAAACACTTCATTTTGACGTACAATAAATTTTCAGCACAGAACTTTTATTTTGAAGTACTGCTTCCTGATGTAGAGTGAGTGACTAATGGACAGCTACTTGACACAGACAGCAAACTAGCTTGACGAGATGGTCAAATGCAAGTAAGACGCGAAATGTTAAACTATGTGGACGATAAAGTTCTAGGGCGTAGCTACCTTGTGATTGACAAGTCACTACCACGGCATTGTCCTCTGGTTTTTGGCCAGATTCACCCCTCACCCCTCCAAAGCTCCATCCTCTTATCCACATATGGTCACTTCTGGCTCCAAAAAGCTAAGACAGCGATGGCCAAAATGCCAAACGTGAGGCTTCAGAATGAAGTCCACAAACCACTGGGTGATGTCCAGGTGGCTAGATCCACTTCTTTAATACTGTCTATGAAATATAGATATGAGCATGGTATTGATCTTCTCATCTAAGTCTTGGCAAGAAAATGAATAAATGTATTTCTCCAAAATGTCAGACTATGCTTTTAACCCTGAATGAATATTCTCCTTTAACCTTGGCATGTGTGCCTGTGGAGGTACAGTATGCATGTATGGCGCCGCTGCACGTGAACGCAGCCTTTATGTAAACTTACTCAGTGGGAGTAGTCGTCGTTCTTGTGTGGACTTTACAACTTCTTGACCTTCTGCCTCTTGATTTTCAGAGAGTGAGTGTGGGAGTGCAGATACAGTAAAAAATCCAGCGTGGATGAAAATTGAACCGCAGCTATACGAGCTCAGTAAATAAAGTATATCAGGTGATACAGTATAAGCCAATGTACCCGGCGCTGCGTGAAGAAACAGTTATTACTCATTCTGCCACCCTGATAGCCATGTGAGAGGAGAATTGCGGAGCCGTTCCCATGGCTGCCTGATGTACTGATTTGATTGGCGCTGTATAATTTTGCTGCTCTGCCTGATAACACACTGCTGCTGCTGCTGCAGTAGGAGGTGATCAGCAAAACAGTGGGAGTTGTTCTCCAGAGAGAGAAAGAAAATAAAGTACAAGATATGTTGGAGCGTTCAGTGTCGTGTTTACAAAGTGAGCATAAGGTGTATCTATGAAAACACGGAAAATTAGATATTTTAGTGCCTGGATTAGTGCATCTCAGGTTTATTCTCTATCTCAGCTCCATCATTTTATCTTTACGTTACAACTGAGGTGAATTATGAACACCTTGTCAGTACAGTATCTCATGTAACAAACAGGATGTTCTCACTTTTTGTGCCAGACTGTGTTAAACAGTAAGTGTGAGAGGAGTCGTAGAGGAGTCACAGTGTTGGTGGGTAGATTTAGTGCCAAGAAAGCAATGAACAATGCATTTCACAGTGTATCTATATATTAAGTTTTTTTTGTTAGTGGCTTGATATGAATTTCTTTGGAAAATTTAGATGTTAATTTAGTCTCTTAGGGATTGGTGATGACAAGGAATTATGTATCTTTTAAAAGTATTTCACTGCTAGAGAGATGGTCTTTACATAAAACTTGTACAAAGTAGGAATTACAGTCTGGCTGAAATGGGCTCATGAAGGGGGTTGAATACATAAAGCATGTTCATAAAGCCTGTGTTTTCCACCACAGAGTTGGGTCTCATATCTGCGGCTATAAATGTAACAAGTGGTGGTGTGATTTCCATTTCCCTGTCTCAATCAGTCAAGAACGGCAGCCTAAATGATGTAGGGATAACATTAGCTTGTAGCGTTTGCATTGCTCCTTGTTTCCGGCTAGTTTTACTGATTGAGACGCTGGGGCGATGACGGCATAAATGAGTTGACATATTTGAAGAAATCCCACTCTTGTATCCTACTGTTTTTTTAATCCACCACTTTCTCGCCATCACCCTCACAATTCAAAGCAGGAGGACCTTTTATTTCTGTTGCAACGAGCTAGCTTAGCATAGCATGCCTCCCAGTGTGTCTCACTGGGGCAGAATGCTTTGGTTTGGGCTGCCTTGTCGAGCACAGTGGCACTGAGAACAGTAGGTTTAACACAATTTAAGCTCAACATTTTATTTTCGGAATGCCATAAGATAGTTGAATCATTCCGTTTGTAATGCATATTGAATCAAAACCCTTGTACCGAATGAATCAAAACAAATACATGTTTTGTTAAACTCCTAATAGAAAGATAAGAATACTTTAAAATTGGTGCCACATGTCAAAGAAAACAGAGGAAATAGGCAGTGACATTTGCTTTTGCTCAAGAGGTAGAAAGATAGGAAGATAGGACAGCAAGCAGGAGAACCCTATTTCTGCTACACAAAGTTTAAAGGTTTACTTTAATATTTGCATTTTTTTGAAGTGACTGAATAATTTTACTTCCGTCAAACCTAACTGGCTAGTATTCTGATATTGTTAACGGAAAGAAAACACTCTGGATTTACTGGTTACAACTGGTAGAACTTTGAGATTAGAGATACATCTTTGTTTTCACAGGGCAAAAAATGATAAGAACCACTGTCTGACATCAACGTTGCGTGATTTTGGTTTGTTAGAACTTTTCATCATTTACACTTTTCCCGCTCACATTCGCTCTGTTGTTCTCTTTGTAGAAACTGTTCCCATGAGAAGGTGGTGTCCATGCTGCAGGGCAGTGGGGCGATGCCCACTCTGGTGGTGGAGGAGGGTCCTTCTGAGTACTCCTCAGACCATACCGACCCAGAAGAATCTCCAAGCATGGCCACCACCACGTTACCGCGCTCCAGGTCAATAAGCAATACCAACAATACCGACATTGTGATTTGACATTTCCAGCAGCTCACGGTCTGTTGGGACAAACAAACAAACAAACATCAAACCCCTCCGTCAAGTCGTTTTTTTCCCCAATTAAAATACAGAACAAAGGAGAAAGAATACTGATTGTGTGTTTGAATATACGAATGTAAAATAATGATAATCTCTCACAGGTCTCCAGCCCTCAGCTCTCTGCAGTGGGTGGCAGAGATTCTTCCACCCAGCATCAAAGTCCACGGGCGGACCTTCAGCCAGCAGCTGGAGCACCTGCTGACCATCCAGGAGAGGTACACAGTCTGCAAGGCCCTGGAGACCTTCTTCCAGCACAGGTCAGTGGGACGGAGGAAGAGAAAGGGTGTATAAACATTAGCACAGAACAAATGGGGGGATGTATGAGCGGTGAGGAACACGTAGGTCTGCAGTCTGCAATAACGCAATATTAAACAGATGGAAGAGAGCTGAGGGATGAAGTGAAGAGAGAAGCAGCTGGTGGAGTTTTTACAGAGACTTTTGGAAAGTTAGACATTCTAATGGAGCAGCCCAAAGTATAATAATTCTTTAAAATACCCACAGCTTCACTAGGGAATCAGTATATTAGGATGGCAGCAAGAGACAGCAGAAAATAATGTACCTAAAAGTTCAGCATTTGTCAAACTACCTTGGTGGCTAGACTTTGTTAACAGGCTAGTTTACATTGACAGAAATGTACCCGTTGCCGGGGAAACTGTGTTTTTTTACCGCACTCAATATATCAGGCTGCTGAGGATGCTGTTAATGCATGCGAAAGAGAGAGATAGAGAAAACGATGGTGATAGGACAGTGGAAAGAAAAGCAGCTAAGACACAAATGCACATAGCTAAGCAGGAGGAGATGGATGGAGCAGATGATGCAAACATGTGATGCTGCAGGATTAAAAGCAAAAAAAACAAACAATTGAATTCCACAGTATGTGCATACAGCATAAACACCCGAAGGCGTAACTCCTATTATAACTGACATCCCTGTTATCCTCCCACCACTTCATAAAAATGTGTTTTAATCCTGCATCTCAGTCTCAGCTATACGTGTCATTACAGATGCAAAGAATATAAATCTAAGCGAAATCCTCACTTCATATGGCAATCAATTACACAGCAGGAAACAGGGGGCTGATTATGTAAAGATGTGTAAGGATGGAGTATGTGTGTGTGTTTGCAGGAATGTGGACACTCTGATAGTGGACGTGTTTCCGGTGTTGGACACTCCGGCCAAACAGCTGATCTGGCAATTCATCTACCAGCTACTGACGTACGACGAGCAGGAGCGCTGCCAGGGCAAGCTGTCTCGCTTCCTGGGTTTCAAGAGCAGCGGTGAGTCAGAATCACAACGTGGAAATTAGACATGTACAGTAACAGCAGACAATCAATAAAAAAGGAAAAAGACATGGCTGATGAAATTAAAAATCAAGCTTTTATAATTAACCACCTGGTGCTAGATGTACTGTGAGGTTGTTTCTTTGTAATTAACACAGACACAAAAGTATGAAAGCCCATTTACACCAATGTGATGAAAAACAAAAACGTGTCTGTAAATCATTTCAATGAGAAACTTCCTCGAAATAATGACGTAGTATCTCAAAATGAGTCATTATTTTCAGATACTACGTCATTATTCTGTGATAATAAGTTGTTGTTTTGAGATACTAAGTCATTATTTTGAGATAGTGCATTGTTATTTTGAGATACTAAGTCATTATTTTGAGATAGTAGTTATTTTGAAATAGTAAGTTATTTGAGATACTAAGTCATTATTTTTGAGATAGTATGTTGTTTTGACATACTAAGTCATTATTTTGAGATAGTGCATTGTTATTTTGAGATACTAAGTCATTATTTTGAGATAGTACGTTGTTTTGACATACTAAGTCATTATTTTGAGATAGTTAGTAGTTATTTTGAAATAGTAAGTTATTTGAGATACTAAGTCATTATTTTTGAGATAGTACGTTGTTTTGACATACAAAGTCATTTTGAGATAGTAGTTATTATGAAATAGTAAGTTATTTAAGATACTATGTCATTATTTTGAAATATTAAGAAATTATCTTGACATATTAAGCGACTATTTTGAGATAGGAAGTTGTTATTTGAGATACTAAGTCATTATTGTAAGTTGTTATTTGAGATACTAAGTCATTATTTTGAGATACTAAGTCATTATCTTGAGATATTAAGTGACTGTTTTGAAATAGTAAGTTGTTATTTTGAGATAGTAAGTTGTTATTTGACATAGTAAGTCATTATTTTGAGATACTAAGTCATTATCTTGAGATATTAAGGGACTATTTTGAGATAGTAAGTTATTATTTGACGTACTAAGTCATTATTTTGAGATAAGTCATTATCTTGAGATATTAAGCAACTATTTTGAGATAGGAAGTTGTTATTTTAAGATACTGAAGCATTATTTTGAGATAGTTAGTTGATATTTTGAGATACTAAATCATTATTTTGAGATAATAAATCATTATTTGAGATAATTAGTCATTACTTTGAGAAAGTTTCTCATTATAACGACCTACAGGATCTTTTTTTTTTTATAGTGGCAGACATGGGTTTCCATACAAAGGAGCAGCTGTTTATAATTAGCTTGTAAATAACAAAAACACGATGCTGAATATGTGTGTATGTGTGCATTCTGCAGCGGTGTTGGAGCCTGACGTCGGCGCGGAGCACCACCGGCGGAGCAGCTCGATGCGTGTGACAGGGACGTCGTATCGCAGCAGCCTCCGAGAGAGGAGCTCTGACGACTGCATCATCGGGACTCACCTGGGAATGGGTACGCTGCACATGACAACAAAAAGAAAAAGGATTTGCCAACTTGTCACAAAAAATCAGTGTAATCTCCACAGGGTTGGCTGGGCTTATACCAAGTTTTCAGAAGCTTTCCAGCCTCATTCTGAACCAAAAACTTTTAACCCAGATGGGAATTTTAGACACTCAGCTGAACAGAGACATTTTACCTACCTGTTTCTCTTCACTGATAAGCTGTTGAGCTTCAAAGATTCAACATAGCAACTTAAAAAGTGATGATGTCTGTGTTGTGTTCACAACTTGTTTACACTGCCCCCAAGCAGCCAAAAAAATCAGTTATACAGGTTCAGTAACGACTGTAAAGTGAGTGTGTTATTTTGCTTGTTATGAAATCTCGTCATTATTAATTCAGTATTCAGTATTGATGCATCTTTCTGGGGTGAATCCCTGGACATACAAGGAAAATGTGAGTAAAGACGCTAAATGAGTTTCCTTCCGCAGTTACTGTACCATAAATATTCCCTCTGGCAAAGCATCTACCCCCCACTCGCTGCACGTGAAGTGCTCAGAGCTCCGTAATAACGCTGCGTTTGCACTGGTCAGCTCCCAGGTGGAAATGTGTATAATTGTCAGACTGTTGCTGCAGATACTTGAAGGTTACGTAAGACAAAAATGGCCATCACACATTCATACATTACCTCCATATCTCAGCTGTGCTTTTGAAAGTGTCCCCAAGCTGTCAGGTTGGAAGCACACACAGTGTTTATTTCCAGCAGATTTCATTCATGGTTTCCCATCGCTATCGCTAACAAGCCAAGCTTTCTGTCTTTTGTCTCCTCCGCGCTGTTCCTCTCTGCTTCATCCTCTCTCCCTCTTGGCTGGGGGGTGGATGGAAGGAGGAGGCTCAGGTCCATGTGTCACTGTTCATGCCTTATTGTGCTTTAGGAATTCATGTGGATGAATCTGGGAGCCCAGAGGAGAGGCAGTCAGGAGATGGAACTTCCTTCCCCGAGTCCCCTGACCTCAATCATGTAGGTATAACCGCAGCTTTTCAGCGCCTAGCTGCTCAGCACCTGGCATAATGGATGCTAGTTATGTTACTGTGCTCTGTGGCCTCACATCATTTGAAGGTCTGCCTGTAATTACCTCAATGGAACAAGTGATATTAGATTCGTGAGTAAACCTGCGCGGTGCAAATTGTCCTCTTAAACACTTTAAAAACAGCAGACCTTCAAAGCGAATGTGTCGCAGCGATTGTGTGCTAACCAGCTGATCATGCCTCCACCCGTAGATGACAGGGGTGTACACGGAGCTGGAGAGTGTGTACCCAGGGAAGAGTGTGTCGCCGCTGCAGGGCGGCTCCTCAGCCGAGCCAGAGGGGACGGGACAGACTGAGGCCTACGGGCGCTCTCTCTCCCCCCTCACACTCCCCCCTCTCACAGGTACTCTGGGGCTGACACACACGCCCCAAACACTCAATTACATGCACACACACATACACAATGCGCTCATGCTTTCAGATACATGCTTTCATCAATGGTTTGCAACCATGTGCCACTGAGGTTTGACGTATTTGCAGAATGAGTTATTGAATTCAGATGCAGAGTTTGGCAGGTAATAAAACTGTATAACTTTGAGCCTCAGTGGCACATGACTGTTGCCATGTTCAAGTCACGTTAGATTTGCAGTAAATACAAGCTGCTGCTCCTGAAAATTTCACTTATATCACATCCACGCTATTTAAAGGAGTATCCTCTCATGCAGCTCTGTAGTTATGGTGAATTTAACATTAATACAATCATTTAAATGAGTTGTTTTTTTTACCACTCTGATGTGAACATGGCACGAGAACCACTGAATGTGTTTAAGTTAGAACTCATTATAATTATACATTCTACATGTGCATATGAGGCTGCAGTTTATCGTTTTGTTGCCATGGTAACCTCTCAGAAAGAAGGATCCCCAAGGCGACAACATGGGCAAGAATGTCACACTTAATTTCTTGAGGGATAAGTAGCAAATAATATTAAGATTTCCCTGGTGGAAACATCTGCAGTGTGAGCATTAAATGTCCCACAACAGCACTGATGGCAAACATTTGCTTTCCCACGTCACAGGTAACCGTAAATCTGGCCTGTCCCTGTCCTGGAAGGAGCCTCTCCCCACTCCCGTGTACGAGATCCACCACCAGAGCAGCGTGGACTCCAACCCCTACGTCAGCCTGGAAAGCCCCCCAGCCTCCCCACAGCACTCGGATGGCGGCCCCACCACGCTGACCCGCCGCAAGAAGCTGTTCACATTCTCCCGCCCGCCTCGCAGCCGGGACACGGACAAGTTCCTGGACGCTCTGAGCGAACAGCTGGGCCACCGAGTGACTCTGGTGGATGACTTTGTACCTGGGGAGAACGACTATGAGGAGGTGAGGACGACCTGTCAGCTGTAATAATGCACACATATAGATCACTCTTCATCTTTTCAAGTTGCTTTTAAGCAAGTTTTCTTTTTAATGTAGGCATTTTTATTATGCCTTGCAAATAATGTGGACACTAATTATTATTCCTATTTTAGACACCAAGTTGCTACATCTGCCATTTTTAATACAAATAAGTCCATTTAAATTAGTTTTGCTGCCTTAGTATAATCCATAGACTGTATAAAAGAAGTGGACGTAGCCTCAGGAAACCTGCATAATGGTCACTAGGGGGCGACTCCACTGGTTGCAAACAAAAGTCCAATTGTTTATAAGTCTATGAGAAATTGGCCCAACTTCTCACTTGATTTATTATCTTAGCAAACATTTTCCTAATGAGTTTATGTTGTCACTCTCTAGTTTCAAGTCTTTATTAATACAGCATGATGTTCATTTCGTAAATTATGGTCCCATTTGAAGTGAAATAGACGATAAAAGAGGGTATGCTCAAGAGCGTGGCAACCTTGTGATTGACAAGTCGCTACCAAGGCGATCTGTCAATCATTATAGAGGCAGAGCAAAGCATATTGACAATATGTACCCATCAGATCCACCCTCTCGTCCAAATATTGTCACTTCTGGCTCCAAAAAAAAACACAAGTTGACAGCCTCAAGACAGTTCTCCACAAACCAATTGTTTTATACACTCTATGGTATTATTAGGCTAAAAAAATTATCAACAGGCTCCATCTCAGACCAGTAATACAGGGTTCCCATGGTCATAGTAAACAGGAAAAGTAATGCAATTGCACAGTGTCATTTTCCAGGCCTGGAAATGTCGTGGAATTGATAAAATCCTTGAAAATTTTGGAAAAGTCGTGTACTTTTATTGTGTATCATGAAATTAGTTGTTACATTAATCCTCTATGGATAACCTTCCACATAATGTAACATAACAGTGAATTTATTTTATGCAGCTGTTGACGTTACGCAGCTCTTACATCTGTAGAAACAAGCAGATACTGTAATGATCTTGTTTGTTCATGGTAACTCTATTTATGTCTCATGTTAGAATATGACACATAGCATCATTTACAGACAATCTCACTGTTGTGCATTTTGCTTATTATCACACAATAAGCAAATTCACATTTGCCTGATGTGATAGCGTTGTAGTGTTGCATGTTTACATTAGAGCAGCTCTAATGTACGCTACAATGAACACTTGTGTCACATGAACAGATATATCAAGGTGGTTGTCATGGTTTCAGAAGAAGAGGGGTGCCTGTAAGTAAACATGATACTCAGTTATACTGTAGAGTCTAATTTTATCTGCCTATTTCTGACGGGAAATCTAAGGTTAAAATAATATGGTGCTGGCTGACGTTAAATCGTCACACAAATTTTTAATTACAGCCGTGTTGCATCTTTGTCAGGGTGGTTTTGTGTTTGCTGTCAGAAATGGGGAGAGTGGCATAATCTGCATAATTATCTGGGTTGTACATATTTTAAAACTGTTTTTTATTGTTGTTTGAAGTATTTTTTATGATAAATTCAAATTATTATAATTATTGTGCTCCATAAATACACAACACCTTTGTTTTTGCTCCCATTTTTCACAGGTTTAAGTTAAAGATTTAAGACTTTTCCCTCAAATTTTGGTGCAGATTTGCTTCAAAGATAATCCATCCACCTGACAGGTGTGACCTATCGAGATGCTGATTAAGCAGCCTGGTTAGTACACAGGTGTGCCTCGGGCTGGTTGCAGTAAAAGGTCACTCTAAAATGTGCAGTTTTATGACACAACACGATGCCAGAGATGTCACATGAGGGAGCGTACCATTCGCATGTTGACTGCAGGAATGTCCACCAGAGCTGTTGCCAGTGAACTGAATGTTCATTTCACGACCATAAGCTGTCTCTAATGACGTCTCTGTAAATTTGGCAGTACATCCAACCTTCCTAACAACAGCAGACCGCACATAGCCGCATTCTCGGGCCAATTCTCGTGCAAGATCGTCTGACACCAGCCACCCGGACAGCTGATGCAACAAATGGTTTGCATGACCAAAGAATTTCTGCACCACCCATCAGAAACCATCTCAAGGAACTTATCTGCATGCTCATCATCCTCACCAGGGTCTTAACCTGACAGCAGTTGTACCAGACTTGAGTGGGCTCACCTTCGATGGCGTGTGGCACTTCGGAGAACTGTTCTTTTCACATGAATCCCATTTGATGCTGTACGAGGCAGATGGCAGACAGCGTGTATGGCGTCGTGTGGGCGATCCATTTGCTAATGCCAATATTGTGAATAGAGTGGCCCATGGTGGCAGTGGGGTTATGGCACGGGCTGGTGTAAGCTACAGACAATGAACGCAGGTGATTTATTGAAGCCAGTTTGAATGCACAGAGATACGATCAAGGTCCTGAGAAGATCAAGGTCGTCTCGTCAAGACGACAAGATCCTGAGACATCACATGTTTGGGATGCTCTTGATTGGCGTGTACGACAGCGTGTTCCAGCTCCTGCCAATATCCAGCAACTTCACACAGTTATTAAAGAGGAGTGCGCCAACAATTAACAACCTGATCAGCTCTGTGTGAAGGAGATGTGTCACACTGCATGAGCCAAACTGTGTCACACCAGATACTGAGTCATGTGAAATCCTAATAAATGTCTAATAAATGTGTGCATTAAGTCTTAACGCTTTAACTTGTATCTGTGAAAATGGGAGCAAAAACCAAAGTGTTGCATTTTAATTTTCTTCAGTGTAGATGGGTTAGAGTATTGATAATATGTAAGTGCATGTGTTTTTTTTAATTAGGTTATTTTCTTATTTTTTAGCTTTTCTGTCCCATGAGTAAAAATGAAAGATTGCAGATACAGATTTATAAACAATAATGTAAAATAAAAAGAGCCACAGTGCGTTTATTTTAGATTTATATCTGCGTTAGAGTACGTGGAGGTGAAAGTTTTGATTATCAGGTCTGATGGCACACCTCTCCTCCCTCCAGATGAGTTTCCAGGAGGACCAGGACGTGGGATTCATGCCTCGACAGCTCAGCAGCGGCAGCAGCGAGGACCACAGTAGCAGCGACGAGGCCTCCACTCCCACCTACTCCTCAGGATCTGATCCCATCCCGCCACCTCCAACCCAGAGCCCTCCGCCTCCCCCACCTTTCCAGTCTCTGATACCGCCCCCCGTTCAATTCACTGACCCCCTGCCGCCAGTCCGCTTCTCCCCCGAGCACATCCCCCGCAGCCGGATGCCCTTCCAGCCGCACCACCCCATCATCCCTCCACCTCCGCCCCCTCCGAGGACCCTCCTGTCCAGCCGCTCCCCTCTACACAAAGTGCTCCCCACCAGGGAGGAAGCAGAGAAAACTCACCAGCGCTTCCAGTCCACCACCACCACCGGCCGCCTCTCGCACGGCCACACCACCCTGGGTTCCAGCACCCTTCGCTCCTCCCAGCCGTCCCGCCCCTGCTACCTCCCCCGGCAGCTCAGCCAGCCCCAGCCTATCCTCCAGCCCATGATCCAGCCGTCCCCTCAGCCCTCTCCTCAACCGCTGAGACCTAGCCAGCTCGTCCTCCAGCGGCACCACCAGCTCCACCATCAGCACAGCTACCAGGGCCCGCTGCCGCCATCCCTCCAGGATCACAGCCCGTCCCAGGGTCAGAACCAAGGCCCCGCGGGCTCCTCAATGATCGCAAAACCTCCAGCTTCTCACTCCACCCTCCCCAGTCACACCAAAACCTACGAAACCCCACAGCAGGAGCAACAGTCACAACAACAGGTAACATCTGCTCGTTCAGTCGTCTTTAAACATGATGCATGCTCCGAACCTTGTTTTCAACCAGAACAGAGAAATCACAGATTCAAGCAGTGAGCACCAAGCAACAGAAATGTCGCAGAAAAAAATCAAGCATTACTTTCTGTGCTATATTTGGCATTTCACAATATGTGCATGCAAATGGAAAAACCTTGAGACTGACAGAACAAAAACCAAACTGCATCTTCTGACAGTTCACGCGCTCTCTGCTTCTGTCACACGTCTCAGGAGAACATAATAATTTTTTTTTCGAGAGAGAGAAAGAAGACAAATGTCAGGCAAACTTCAGCATCTGTTTAAACACCAGTAGCAGAACATACATTTTGTTACTGCAGCTAATGAAGAGTGTATAAACCATTAATGAAACACTGCACCCCCAGCTGTGTTTGGTGCATAGTGGGGAGTTGATTCAAAACCGCTGAAACAAAATGCTCCAAACTCTCTTGTACCCCTGTTCCACCAAGATTAGCATGGTAATGCAGTTTTTTTAAAATGAAAACTACTAGAAATAGGTGATAGACTTCTTTCCTACTGCCAGTAAACCAGAACCAAGTATGCCTTTCTTTCTTTCTTTTTTTTCTGGTGTGTCACACTGGGCATCACAGATGTGCCAGAAAACAGGTTAGTAAAGAGTAGAAAGTAGCATGGAGCTCGGTGAAAATGTGACAGTGGTTACTTCTTTTGTTTATCTGTTACTTTTTCAGTCTCTTCAACTAATCTTTAAGAACGTTTGAGTGCTGCTATGATGGAGACGGATGGTATTTTATGGCGACCTGTCATTGCATCACGCCGCAAAAGGGGCCTAAATTAACCCATCTACCTGGTGTCGTATTTTCATCACTGCCAATCGAAGCTGAAGCCGATCAGCAGAGTCATTTGACTAGGGAGTGAATGCCGATTGTAACCTTTCACCATTAGATACAAAAGCCAGATTGGTCGTGGGGTTTTTTTTGTCCAATGAGAAAGGGGCGCTGATGCAAGCTTGAAAGTTTAGTGTGTAGGATTTAGTGGCATCTAGTGGTGAGGTTGCAGAACTCCATCTTCTCCTGTGTGCTCAGCGTCCAAGAGAACTACAGTGGCCGACTCGAAAAAATGAATGGCCCTATCTAGAACCAGTGTTTAGTTTGTCCGTTCAGAGCTACTGTAGAAACAACATGGTGGACTCTGTGGAAGAGTTCTAAGGTAACAAAAAAACAATTCTTAATTTCAGTAGGCGATTGTAAACTAAAGAAAACATAGTTATGAATATTATGCACCATTTCTGCCAATAAGCTGGAAATTAAATTTAAAAAAAAAAATGTTTTTGATCTCGAAGGCGCCGCCGCCCCCGCCTCCACCCCTGCCCCCACCCTGCGAACCGCCTCCACTGCCCAAGTCGGGCCAACACGCCTCGGACACCAACCACATGAGTGTGAAGAGGCTGCGCTGGGAGCAGGTGGAGAACTCTGAGGGAACCATATGGGGTCAGGTAAGTCCATCCCATCAGTCTGATATGAAGTTCAATCATTTTCCACAACCACTTTCCCTGTTGGGGGCCGTGGAGCCTATCCCAGCTGACATTGGGCGAGAGGTGGGGTACACCCTGGACAGGTTGCCAGACTATCACAGGGCTGACACATAGAGACAGACAACCATTCACACTCACATTCACACCTACGGACAATTTAGAGTTACCAATTAACCTGCATGTCTCTGGACTGTGGGAGGAAGCTGGAGTACCCATGCTGACACGGGGAGAACATGCAAACTCCGCACACAGGAGTTTTTTTTCTTAAATGTCTGAAAAGTATCTTACATGCAGTAAATACAGTAAACAATAACATCACTTGTGAAACTTCCCACCTTGGCTGTGAATTTTCTCACTCCTCCACCATTTTCTCCCATATTTGGAAAGACCTACTCATCTAGTCTGTTGGGTCTCTGATGACTCATGGCAGCACTGAAGCCAAACCCGTTTGTTTTTTTAGTGTCAGTAACCTATATAATCATTTTCACAATTTTACAGTTTTGTGTCAGTTTCCAGCTGTATCAGTATAGTTTAAAAATAATTTAACAAAGTAAAAATTGTATAAAAAAATCACTTCAGCTTAAAGTATTGATTTTAATGGTTAGAAAAAATGACCATATCTGCTTCTATCTACCAAAATGTCTTGGTTTCACTGTACGACTCTATCAGACATTTATAAAAATCTGTGTATATAAAAAGAATTATTCATCAGCCTCTTGTCGCTTACAAAGCCTCGACTGTGTCTTCAGAGACTTCAGAGTGTGTCCTTGTCTATGTTTAGCTCGGAGAGGACTCGGAGTATGACAAGCTCACTGACATGGTGAAGTACTTGGACCTTGATCTGCACTTCGGGACTCAGCGCAGATCCAGTGAGTAGCTGCGTGCATGTGATGAGCCTTCATCACACTGCATCGTCATATCTTCATTTACATCATGCTTAAAGTGGTTTGTTTATCTGTTGACATCTCCTGTTTTTTGTACCTTCACAGTCGTGATGTTCTCCATAACCTGTTTTGGAGCTGCTCCATTTGTGTGTGCATCATATCCATTCTCCATAAGGCACCATAACCTCCCCCACTCCTCTCCTGTCTCAGCTGAGCTCTGTAATAACACAGCTCTGCCCGAAGAAACACACCTTGCTTTTCTTTATTGTGCATCTCCCAGACGTTTTGGCCTCTGGTGACTCAAATGGCAGAGCTGTGCTATTAACCCATCAACCTGCCACATGTAGCCGCTGTGTGTGTGTGTGTGTGTGTGTCTCTTTGTGTGTGTGTCTCTTTGTGTGTGTGTCTCTTTGTGTGTGTGTGTGTGTGTGTGTGTGTGTGTGTGTGTGCGTGTGTTTACTCCCCGGTGCCTGGAGAACACATCCTTACACTGTTGTTAATATTACCAGTCTCTCCTCCAGAGCCGGCCTTCATGCCAGAGAACTTTAAAAAGAAAGACGTGGTGGAGATTCTGTCTCATAAGAAAGCCTACAACGCCTGTGAGTACCACAGTAACACCCAAAAGGTCGAGGCTCGAGTCTGTGAGACAAAGTAACACATATTACAGTTCTATCATTGCTTTGAACAGCCAAACTGACTCACACTAAAATGTTACCTTCCAATAAGAAACACTAATACAGTTTTTCCTCCATTGACTTGATGCACTTCTGCCAAATATCTTTTAAAACCAGTGATCACGAGTTCAAAAGCATTCACTTGCTGTGCTTGAGGAGGGTCTCATTACACAGATCCCTGAACTCAGTGTCAGGTCTGCTCGCAGTTCTCTCAGTCTCAATAAAAAAGGACAGCAGAGTGTAGTGCAGCATGTCAGGAGAGACTGAAGCCCGTCCAACAACAACTCTAGCCCGTCTTACTCAGTGAAAGTGTTTTGTCAGTTTGAGAAATTTACAAACACTATGCAATTTCCAATTCATGTTGTGTGATGACGTCACGTTGCAGTCATGACGGTGGATTTGTCACACAGAGCGTTTGCGTTCGAGGTGTCTGTACAGGAAACATATTGCAGTAGGTGTGATGTGGATGAATATGGAGGATGTGATGTAAATGACGCATGTACGGAAGCCCTGAGAGGCAAGTGAGAAACTTACTCACTTGCCTCTCAGGGCTTCCGTACTTAAACAAACAAATGTTTTTGCTAATTATATTATCTTTGACTGCAGGTTTGAACTTATGATTTGATGCTCTGTGATGTTGTTATTTTGCTATCTTGACTTTTTTTTAATGCAGTATTTTCAGACACCAGACGCCCTGTTCTTCGAATGTGTCTTAACTAATTCAGGCTAACATGCTGTTATCAGGCTCAAATAATCTTGTTCAGCGAACTTGGTCCTTTGAGCTCAGTTTGAGGATTCGTTTTTAACCCTGGATGAAGTTATCTTAAATAAAGGCTCTTATTTTGAAATAAATGTGAAACAAGTAGAGCATTGAAACTGTGATGAGTGTTAATATGATGATCATGTGATTGCAGTTGCATGAGGTAGGTGTTGAGAACCCTCCCAGCATGCACTGGGGCAATAAATTCATAAGTGTAATTTTATGTTCCTTCATTGTTCCTGGTGTTGATTTGTTCTACACTGTGCTGCACAATGTTTCCACACTTTCATTACTGGTTCAATATGAATGTGGTCAGACGAGGAGGGATGTTGGTGTGTGATTGGTGGAGGTGCAAGAGGCTAGTCAGAGGTCTGCGATGAAAGTAAAACTGTAATAAAACTCATAGTAAATACTAAACTAATAAACCGAAAACCTTATAAAAGTCAGCTGTAATTGCACAAACTATTTATAGTTCTGCAGTGAATTATTTTATAACTTTTAGTACATAAATTCCCATTTTAAATGCCGTGCTCTCTGTTTTTATTGGTCTTTTAACAATCTGAATCTTTCCAGTGGATGCGTTCATGTCATTTTGCTCACAGTATCTCAAACTGTATTTTGTTATATATTGTTTATTATATTGCTGCATATTTCATCTGACCATGTCTGAGTGTAACTCTTTATTATAAAACATAATTGTGATTATTTCAAAAACAGATCATAATGGTTATCTCTCAATAACCTGCATGTTCATATCTAAAATCATAATTATATCAACACTCCTTAAGTGGAGTTCAGGATTGTGGTCCAGCTAACTGTCAGTAATCCTGTGCTTTTTGTGATACTGGTTGACCTGCTGTATCAGTTTCTTGTTCTACTGTAAAATGTCTCTTGTGCTGCCTTCAAGTCCAAATGGAGAACAGTGATTCCCTGTTGCCCCTGTTGACTGCTGTCATCCTCACCTTCTTCTTCTGTATAAGAGAATAAACACTCATGTTGTCATGAAACTGTGTCTTTACTTGGTGATCCAAAAGCAAGAGAAATGACAGGTTCCACTTTATAGTTAAGAATTACTGTATTCTTCATCATTTGCTTCATGTCTCATTAAAAAGTTCTACCAGGCTTCATGCTACATGCATGGAACTGATCACATCACTCATAGTCTGACCACATTCACTGGTGATATCTAACTGTTTACCAGTTAGGAAAGTGTGGAAACATTGTGGAGCACAGTGTAGAACAAAGTCACACCGGTAACAAGGCAGGAACACAGAAAATGACACAGGTTGTTATGCCGAATCTATTGCCCCAGTGCATGCTGGGAGGGTTCCTAAAACACTTGCCCCATGTAACTGAATCACATGAAAAGCACTTAACCATTCATAAATACTAATCATGATTTCAACTCTACTTATTTTGTCTTTATTTCAAAGTAAAGGCACTGTTTTTTTAAGATAAGTTCATCCAGGATTAACAAATGAATCCACTAGGGACCAAATTAGCTGGATGAGAATTAACAGGATTATTTTTAGCCTGATTACAACACGTTAGCCTGAATTAGTTAAGACACATCAATCAATCAGTCAATCAATTTTATTTATGAAGCCCAATATCACAAATCACAATTTGCCTCACAGGGCTTAACAGCATACGACATCCCTCTGTCCTTAGGACCCTCGCAGCAGATAAGAACAGGGCCCGGGAGGGAGGCTAATATAAATGCCTTATACATAGAATTAACAGAAATAAAATAGGAACATAATGTTAAAATATGAAAGTGAGTAATACATCAACAGTAATGGGAAGTGAAACCATCATCTCTGCTACATTGCTTGTATAATATTTGAGGAAGTAAAACTGCAGACTTTGTTTCCATGAAAACTAATTTATAGCATTATATGAGAGCCCATTCTATTATAAACTGCTGCAATTAAAATTGCTAAATGCTTATTTAGCCAATGACACACATCTTTCAAAATTATTTTATGTACCGTGCACAATATTTTAAATTAGGCAAATTTGTATTTGCTTACTGTCCTTATAATGTAGAAATGTTGAAAAATTAAAAACAAAATTGTGGTAAATGTACAGAATGCTCTGACTAAGAAACATTTTGTGTAAAGAAGTTTACAGTTCGAAGCCAAAGCATAAGTAGAATACTGCAGCACTAATTCTTCTCACTAATTTTCTATTATTTATTTAGGTTTCTGATGTTCACAGTGTGAGTTGTTCAAAAGTGGTATATCATAATTTTAAGATTTATTTATTTGTGTAAGTATCTTGATTGTGTGTAATAACAGGGTGTCTGCAGGTCCTTAAATAGCCTTACAATGTCTTCAATTCAATGTAACAACAATAAGGCCTTAAATAGTGTTAAATTTGAATTTGTGAAGTCTTTACTGCTACAAGCATTTTATCTAATTTGATTTATACATCTTTTAATTATGTTATGAAAATGAGTGAAGCTTTTTTATTTAAAAGTCCACATTTCTGATGTTACAAATGTTATTATTAACAAAATTATCATTGTATCATACTTGCACTTACCTGCTGGCAAAATGTAGATCAACTTAACTCACTCAATAACCATATTCCTACATAACACAACACCACATATAAACTACTTACCTGCAATGCTGCAATGCTTAAATAAGTAACACATAATTTGTGTAAAAATCTGTCCTGAATTAGGTTAAAAGGTGTTTTGAAAGGGTCTTAAAAAGCATTAAATGTAACTGTCTGATGCCTGTAGACACCTAAATAAACTGTATATCACAAAAAAGCTTCATAGAAAGTGAAATAAAATGTGAAAATTATTATTTTGCCAAAAAAAAACATTGTTTGCAAAGTCTATTCAAGAATATGAGATGTGACCCTGCTATATGATGCAGCCTATATTAAATTACACTGTGGATGATGGGTTTGTTTTCCTGTATAAGAAGGATTTGTTCAGCTATCATAGCGCCCATATCACAGTATATATTTTTGTATTTACTGTTGTTAATTACAGGGTTTATCCTGGGATTTTATTTCATAATCAGCCTGTCAGCAGATAAACACAGTATAAAATATGAATAATACACAGTGGAAAATTACACATTGTCACAGGGACACAGCGATTGTCTTTGTAATGTGAAAAAACAACACGTAAATCCTCCACATCTTCCCCCGCTACTCTTCCTCCTCCTCCACCTCCTCCTCTCTGCAGCCATCCTCATCGCCCATCTGAAGCTCTCCACCACCGAGCTGCGCCAGGTCCTGATGAACATGACCACCGACAGGCTGGAGCCGGCTCACATCAAGCAGCTGCTGCTCTACGCGCCGGACGACGAGGAGGTCAAACAGTACGAGCAGTTCGAGCAGGACCCGGCCAAACTGAGCGAGCCCGACCAGTTCATTTTCCAGGTACTCAAACGAAAAACTCCACTGTAACCAAAGTGTTTAAAAGCAAAATGGAACAACCTGAATGAATGAGTGTTTTGTGTGTCTCAGATGCTGATGGTGCCTGAGTATAAGACCCGTCTGAGGAGCCTCCACTTCAAGACGACCCTGCAGGAGAGGACGGAGGAAATGAAGGTTGCTTACGATTACATCTACAAGGCTTCGGTGGAGCTGAAGAGCAGCAAGAAGCTGGCCAAGATCCTGGAGGTAAACATCCTCTGTGGGTAAACAAAACATGAAGCAATCAATTTTTATATCAACAGTGGTTAATTATTGCTTTTTGGCCACAGTTTGTACTCGCAATGGGGAATTACCTGAACAACGGCCAGCCCAAGAGCCGCAGGACAACCAGTTTTAAGATCAACTTCCTAACTGAGGTACGCCAATAACACCTGCTCTTCAACCAGGTTATATTCATCTTGACTTTGGTTTTCATTCATTCATATTTTCCTTTCTGTTTCACAGCTAAGCACAACCAAAACAGTGGACGGGAAATCCACCTTCCTCCACATTCTGGCCAAGTCTCTGTGCCAACACTTCCCCGAGCTGCTCAACTTTTCCAGAGACCTTACAACAGTGCCTCTGGCAGCCAAGGGTACGATGATGTTACAGCAGCGCGGCTCTGTAATTCTACTTTTCCTTCCTGAGAATCATTTAGCAGCAGAGTGTAGTCGTTCCATCCTGTGAAGTGCTAATTTCTATAAGCACTCAGTGCGCTGGGCGTCCCTGCAGGGCACGCAGACTTTACTCAAAGCATCTAATTGAATGTTGATTTATGCTGTTTGTTCCAGTGACTGTAAATGTTTAATAACCTGTTAGTTAAATGTCTGATTTGCACATTTCCTTGCTGCTGTTTTACAATCATTAGATCTCATTGCTTCTGTTTAAGTGACTCATCACAATATATTTCCATGTGACTTGTTCAGTGAACCAGAGGGCCATCACAGCTGAGCTGACTGACCTTCATAACACCATTCTGGACATCAGGAAGGCCTGTCTGAAGATCCCGCCCACCTCTGAGGACCACTTTGCCTCCGTCATGAGCGTACGCTAACAGCTTTAAATATATATACGCATCACACATCAAACACCACAAACACTTTTTATGGAAGCTGCAGACTGCCTGCATTTTGTCTCACTAACGGAATATTTTCCATTTTGGGAAATACAGTTATTTACTTTTTGGCATAGAGTTCGATGAGAGGAACGATACCACTGTCGTGTCTGTAATGTAAATACGAAATTGGAGCCAACAGCCAGTTAGCTTAGCTTAGCATAAATACGGGGAAAAACAGGAGAAACAGTCTGGTTCTGTTGGCACTGTAGAAAATCTGCCTAGCAGCACCTCTGACCCTTTGAAATCTGGAGCAACATCACTTTTCTTGTGCTGCCTTCAGACGCCTTTCACAAGTATTAAAACCTTTGAACCCTGAGCAGATTGGTGCAGTTTCTTTTAAAGTCATGGGGAAAATGGGCAATGAGCAACTTAGTAAAAATGTTACACACATTGCAATAAATTAATAGACTTAGAAAATTATTTTAAAAAAGCTAGGGGAAAACTATATTTATAATCATGATTATTATATATTTAAAATTATTTTACATAGTTATTGTAATTTCTAAGCTTCATTTCCAGGGCATTGTTTGTTGTTTGTTTGTTTGTTTGTTCTTAGATTTATTTTCTTGTTTTATCTTTTTCTATTTTTTTTTTTTGCTAATTTTCTTGTTTTTGTTTTTTTATTTTTACTGATTTTTTTGGGACATTTCAGATTTCAAAGAGTTAAAGCTCACTAATTAACATGTTATATCCAGTGTTAATTTTGTCAGTGAAAATTTTGAAGATATTTGTTGATACCGTTATATTTATTGGCTAAATTGTAAATGGAAAAAATTAATTAATTAATTTAATTTAATTCCACTTTAATTCGGAATGAAAGGCCATTCTGATTAAAAGTGGTCATGTAAACAGTTATTCCGTTTGAAAAACAGTCATTCCGATTGAAAGTTAAATCTGATTAAAGGGGGTGGTTTATTCCGTTTGTCATTCCGAATGAAAGAATTTTGTGCGCATGTAAATGCTCATTCCTTTTTAAGTTCATTCTGGTCTGTCTGCGCATGCTCGTTTCCTTGCCCCTCTTTTCTCAGACTTGATAAAGCTGTATAAAACTCCTCATGACAAGTAAACTGACTTTGATAAGTAAAAGTTGGCAGTGTGCCTTATTAACGTGTCACCTTTTGCACCCACAGAGCTTTTTGGAGAACAGCCATCCTGCGATCCAGTCTCTGGAGTCCCTGCAGACGCGAGCAATGGAGGAGTTCGCCAAGGTGGCCTCCTTCTTCGGAGAGGACAGCAAGTCCACCAGCACGGAGTCCTTCTTCGGCATCTTTGCAGAGTTCATGTGCAAGTTTGAGGTGAGCTAATATTGCACAGTTGTCTTCAGCTGTGTCTATACATGCAGCTAAGATATATTTGACTTGTGACTTTTGTTATAAGCAGCAGGTGTTTGACAGATTTAAACCTCCTGAACAATTAGGTATTCAGCTGGCGCTGGCACACAGACTGACAGCAGCCTGCAGCTATGGAGTGATAAAGCTGCAAAGTGCTGCTGTCTGTGGAATAAGCAAATGTGCTCCAAATCTGGAAATAATATGGTAAAATAAGTATAAATCACATGAGATTATGGGTTTTGTCTTGCAGAGAGCTCTCAGCGAGACTCAGTCTCCAGAAAACCCCAGAAGCCCCAGACTGTCTTCCCCTCTGGCCTGGTAGGAGCAAGAAATGCGGGCGGATGTCGGGCCAAACCGACAGGCCGGCCGGCTCCGTTTTCACTCTGCTCTCCACAACCAAAGTGCCAAGATCACACACAGAGACACTCAAACCAACGGGAACAGAGACCACGTCATCTATAGCAAGCAGAATGGAAACACACTATCTATGTGTCAATAAGGACAACAGCTAATGAGTGCCCCGTGTGCTACGTTACTGTTACTCCAGGTGCTGGGTAGAGCAGGATCATTCAGGTGTCCACAGGTCAACAGGAACTCGCCGCACACTGACGACTCAAACCAGTCTTTACATTAGTTACATCTCTTTTTAACACGCGTCACACAGTAGACACAGTGAAAGATACATCAGAGAAACTGTCCCATTGCTCCAGTGCATCTTGATGCTGCATTAAAATGAGATGTAACTAATGGAAATCACCGGTCTGGAGATTTACAGATTACTTGCTATGTTTAATACATGACTATATAAAGTTTATATTTTCTATCAGATCATATTTGAAACTTGTAAAGATTAAGCACAGATGTAGACTGACAACAGTTAACTAGAATCAAGTGTAGTTTAGTTAGCGTGTACAGAGCCAGGATCAGATCAGATAGTTCATACAGCGGTGTGTTCACTGCCTCCCATACAGCAGGATTTGATTTACAACTAGTAAATGTAAGAGTTTCTTTTCAACATCATGTGTCCACACTGCTGGTCTACACGTACAGATGTCATCTCACCTACTGTGAATTAAAAGGGCATGGATTATGGGAATTATGATCAAATTTAAAGATAGTCTTACTCTCCTTAAGGCCACAGGGAGCTAAAGTCATTCACTGTTGTGACTGACTGGATATGGCCAACATTTTTATAGATAAAACAGGAAGTTCAACAGAATGGAAGCAAAGCAATGCCATGAAGATTATAATTTTTTGAATCATTGGAATACTTTTTGTGAATTTTATCCACTACTGAATTCTTAATATTCAAATCAAAATTAAAGTTATAGCATTGAAATTTTGCTGTCAGAATTTAAATGATTTGTGAATTCCCGTTTACAAAATTTGCAGTTGCAAGATGAACAAATGAATAACAGTTGAAAGTATTTGAAATGTCCATCCCCGTCTAGCTATGATGCTAGTTAGCCAACTTTGGCTAAAGCTTACTTGTCGAGGAGAAGAGTAGCCACTTCGACATCCGATTTCAAATTCTTCTCCGCTTTTAATCGTCTCCAGCATTCAAAAGCATCTCCTGTACAGACCCTCGCTTTGCCTTGAGTTTTGTCTTGGCGTTTTTGGGAATCATAACGAGGTCGTTTGGGTTTAGTCGCACTGTCAGCCATTGTAGCTCAGTCGTAACTGTAACTGATGCTGAGACTCTACTGACTGTGTGACTGGTAGACGGCAGTGGGTGGCGCAACAGGCCAAAACACAAATTCAAAACATAAACATGATTTGCAGACTGCAAAAAAAAAAAATTTAAATGCGAATATTCTGGTTGTACTATTGTTGTCGGTGAGATCAGTATGTTATATGAACATTATTCCTTAGTCTCTGTGACATATTAGGAGGATTTTATGACTATTTGATTAGATTTCTTACATATAGCTCCTTTAAATGGTTTCATTGTTCAAAACTGTATTTGAATTTAAGCTAGTTATTTTCAGATCTCAAGATTAAAGCAAATTAAAAAAAGTCACCTGTATTAGAGTGAAACTTAAATTCTGATACCAAAATTCAAGATTAAAAAAAAAACAAAAAAAAAAAACATAAGCAAACAATCCTTAATAGAATCAAGCACACCTGTCATTTTATCCAAGAAATAAAAGATAAATAAGCAGCTTCAAGCCCCCGCAACTTTTTGGAAATTGAAAAATGGATAAATTCAAATAAATGGCAATGTTTCAATAATTTAAAATTCTATGGTATTTAAATTCAACATTATGTATTCAGTAGTGGTTTAATTTCACAATTTCTCTATAAACCTGCTCAGGAAATTGAAATCATCATGACCTTACTAGGCTTCCATAATTTCAGCATAATCTGTTGCTTTTAGGCACGTCCGCAAAAAAATCCCATTAGCCACCTTCCTGTTAGTAAACCAGTGGGTGTTTGTGGTTAATTTAAGCTTCAGCTCCCTCTACACATGTAATCAAGGATGACGACATTACATCATCGCTTGAGTGGCTAAGACATGAGGTCATCGACTATCCAGTCTTCACATCCCAACTGGACTCAGCCCTGATCTTTAACAGCCACTGAAATCTGTCCAATCAGTCTGAGCAACAGGTTGCATAAGCAAGCTGCCTGTGAGGTCTCCAAATTCATTCACTAAGACAGATCTATTTGCAAAACATCACTCAGAACACCTTTCGCAGCGAGGCAACACTGACTACATCAGCACATGCTGAAATCTGGCTCAAAAAACAATCATCTGTTTCCTACAACGTGTGGGCGGACTGTCTTGTTTCTGTCGGTACAGAAAGATGAAAGGCAGCTTTAATGTGAAAAGGCTGAGCCATGTGCTCCTGGCAGAGAGGACTGCTTAATAGTTCTGCACTTTGTCAAGCATCTCTCGAGTGTTGTGAACACAGCCCGGCTCAAACACGTGGGTGGCTGCTGTATGAATGAATGAACGTCAAACGCACGTGGGGGGAAAAAAAAAAAGATCCAACTGTAAATGGTCATTTCCTGCTTTTCTGGTTGTCATGGTGATCTCATGACTCATTTACAGTACAGTGTATCTGTAGCTGTGTTGTATTTATGTCGATGAACTATTGTTGAGATTGTAAATTTTACAGTTTTTTGCTATGCACTGCTCATCAGTTTCATTTTGTATCGTGTGCTCGTGTCTCCTCCCAGTCCTGGTTTATTTTCGTATTACACAGTGTCGTCAGAATTATTTATTCTTTATGCGCAGCTTTAGTCAGGCTTACGAGGTGACTGTGATCTCGTAAAAATGCAACCCTAGCTGCTACTGGTGTGGTGACAGTGTTTCTTGTCCAAATCAATTGCATGTTGGTGCAGTTAATGTATTAAGATGTGCAGCTGGTAGCATTTCCCCTCCCTGGATATTTAGGTTTGAAATAAATACAGCTCTGTCGGTCTAGTTAGGTTTATTTATTTATGTATTGGTTGCCTCCAATCGTTTTATATGTTTTCAGATTGTTTCAGATTGTTTTTCGATCTGTGAAAACATCATGCTTGAAAGTTGTTTGTACACAAAAAATATAAACCATGATTTAAATAGTTTCTTCATATACTTTATTTTCTTTGGAAAGGGGGGTATAACCAAGCATTCATATTACATGTCCATATTTAAGCTCACCAGACGGCATACATACAAAACTATGGAGCTTAAAAATGCAGCATTATCATCTCTAGTTTAATGGCGTTTGTTCGTCTTGCAGAGCCTCGACAGCGAGCTCTCTTGATGCACAGGGGTAAGGCAGCGAGGCACAGGAGCAGAGAAAGAGAAAGGAGGGGATTATAATGCGCAATTGTCTCTGAAAACTGGTTCTCAGGGCAACTGTAGCATCCGAGACTTTCTCCATTGGTACCATATTGGGTCAGTTCTCTGGGAACCACTCTGCTTTACGTCTGAGGCCAAAAACAAGCTACAAGAAAAATACAACAAAGCATTTTTTTAATCTTTTGACCTGGCAAAATCTAACACCACATCACTACTGAGGTTTCACAGCGCTGCGTGCTCTCAGCTCAGTGGGAAAGACTGGAAAAAAAAATCCTCTAAACCAGTCCACTAGGAAACCACTCATTGGCCTGCGCTCAAGTGCAACATCAGCTGTTTATGCATCTTTCTGTTCAGGCTGGCAAAAAACTGTCCTTTCACTACATTCACTCACAGCCTGTTGCGTTTAATGCCCCCCCGGAAAACACCGGAGAAGATCGATGAGAAAAAAAACAACAGAAAGGCAAAAAATACTGACTGTGTCCAGGCTGGGCGGGCGGTTAGCCCTGCTACTTCTGCTCATAAAACCCAAAGACATCAACCATTTAAATACACAACTTTTTTGTGGAACAATACAGAACCATACAAGACTTCTATTGCAGAGGGTTTAGAATCACCTTCCTTACGTCCCTGAAACAAACTTGTTGCCAAGACAGCTTCTTGGAAAATACTGTAGTACTAGGAGCCGAGTATATCCTCCATACAGTAAATATATAATGCTATTAACACGGTGGTTCTGGGAGGAACCCATAAGGCATGATTTACATTTAAAGACTGCATTAATTACGTCAAGCCACAGGGAATGTGTGTTTTTAAATTGGTAAATAAATACAGGAGTGAGGAAGAGGGAGAAAAAAACAAGGGATGGGGTTTCCATACAAAAATCAAGTGTTTGAGACGACTGGAAACCTGCAGTCACCAGCTACACTTCAACAGTTTTGGTTTCTACTTCACCTGCTGACCTTCCCCCTCTCCCTGGGCTGTAGAAATACCTCTTTTTTAATTTCTTGTTCTAAGGCCATTTTCCTACTTAAAAAAAAACAAACAAAAAAAAAAAAAAACAGAACCCCACACCAAATTCCAAACAAGTCACGTCAGTTCATATTTTGGCATTCCCCCCGGTCAGTACCCATGCTTTATATTGCTCATCGATGACACAGTGGTCTGACGGCGTTACTGGTGAATCAGCGGTCCTCTGCTGTTTGATTGTCTGGAGCTTCATCTGTAGGGAGCACAGTGTAAAGGAAGCGGTGGTGTGGGTGTTTTGCAGTGTAGCGGCTTTTGTCACAAGTGTCCTCATGGCCACATCTGACACCATCATCGAGGTCGACGGCGAGGATGCTCTGAGTAAACAATAGCTGGAAACAGCTTTGACAGCTGAGAGATACCTGAAGACGACTGTGGTGGTGTAAGCGAAGGACAAGGTGGTCAAATGAGGTGATTTGGCCTTTGACTAGGGCTGCAAAGAACGGTTAATCTAGTAGTTATTTTCTCAATTTTGGTCTATAAAATATACAGAAATAGTAAAAAACTATTTCCAAAACCCCAAGTTTACATATTCAAGCATGGGTTTTTTTTATTTAAGCTTAAACTTCACCCTCAAATGATCATTTCTATATAATTACTCATCCCATGTTATGCTGAATCTATGATGAAAACTTGTTTTACTTGTATGCGTCCGGTGAACGAAGAATCCAAAAAGTGAAAAAATCCTTGAAGAACTGAATTCTAGGGGTCCACGTTTAACCCTCTGGTAGTTTGTTTGTGTTATTGTGTGACTTTGATGTTTTAAAGTGTTAATTCAAACTCACCAAAGTCACACAATAACAAACTATCGATCAAGGCAGTGGTAGATCAGTAGCTCCAGTGTTCAGCAAGGTAAAATGACTGTTTTTGTAAATAGAGTCTGGCTTTGAAGAGAGCATGGATACGTTTCAGTTCCCCAAGAGAAGGGTTGCCAGTTTAAATATAATTTTGCTGTTATTAAACATGGACCCCTATGACTTTAATTCAGCAAGAGTTTTCACTTTTTTTGGATTCTTCGTTCACCATAAAGGCATTTGAGAAAAACAAAGTTGGTTATCAAAGCTGTATCTATGAATTGACTTTCAGCTCTACCTGTGACATATTACAATTTAAACAACATATGTAATATGTAGATAACCTGAAATAAGTCTGGATTTTTGACTTTTGGAATCCAACTAAGTTGAGTAAGTGATATTAATATGCTACAAATACTAGTTAAAGGACTGCTTTACCCACAAAGTGAGCATTTATTGTGTTCAAATACACACAAGAAATTTGTACTTTTTTTTGCATGCCTCCGGTAAATGAAGAATCCAAACGCAGAAAAAAAATTCTTGATGAATTGAAATAAAAGGGAGTAGGTACATCTATTCGCGAACTCGCACAACTCGTGCAGTATAATTCACATCTCGTGTTCAGTTGTATGCTCAGTACTTAAACATAAGCATTTTCGCTGTATCTTTCTTCACTACACTTATGCATATGAGTAGAACGCCTCAACAAGATGTTTGTTTGAACTCTGCTCATACATTGCATTGAGCAGGGTTCAAACACACACTTGGCAGGGTGCACTACCTGTGCATGCATTATGCATCAGTGTTTTAAATAGTAATGATTAGGGAAAATGCACATGTTTAGGAAGTACTGAGCATACGACTGGATAAATGAGACTGCAGGAGTTGTGTGAGAGTTTGGAAACGGATGTTTTGATATAGTTTTGCTGTTTAAATACAGACTCATGAAGAATCTTCCCTGTTTTTTGATTCTTCATTCACCATGGAGGCATGCAAGAAAAAGAGTTTTCTTCATGTATTCAATGTAACACGGGACAAGTAATTTATATACAATCATTTTGTGGTCAAAGCGTCAACACAATCAACTACCATTGTTCACCCAGAGCTGTGGACCTCTATCATGGCTGCCAGAATGTGCATTCTATCACATTAAAGTCCTTCATACAGACTGGGGTGAGGAAACATGGCGGCAGAGAAGGGCAGCAGTTATGGGCTGGTGACGAAACACGAGCAGACTACATGAGGTGTGTGTATGATGAGGAGGAGGTGCGTTTGGGGGTTACTGGACCCAGAGCATGTCATCGTCTCCTCCTTATAGGACAGTGCTCTCAGTGTCCAGGTCACAGTCTTTGAGAGGCAGGCAGGAGGAAGAGGAGGAGGCTGCCGCTGGCTGCTGGTCTACAGCGAGCTCAGGGACGAACGCTCGACTCAGCCCTTTGAAAGACATCGCCGGGTCTAAACAGCAACACAGAAGATGAGGAAAAAACAAACAACAACTATTATAAGTGTGTATTCAAGACTAAAAAATATATGATAAGATCAACTAGAAAATATAATTTAAGATACCATTAGTGTTGGTAAGTAACGGTTAACGTGTTTGTCATGCCGTTCACACAGAATACTACACAAACATAAGCAAGATAAATACCCTGTTTAAGCTGACATTATACCAACACATAATCACAAACATGTGCAGCTCCATCCTGGAGTATGAAAACATTTAAAGCTGTCGCAATTATGCCATCCAGTGCAGCTGTGTAATATTTTCCATAGCTTAAATGGCAGCAGGGGCTCAGCAGTGAAAACAGCAGGGTCAGTGTTTGAACAGCAGGTGGCGGTGTTTGGATGGAGACTGTGAGCAGCCGTGCAACAGGCAGTGAGGAGTGGATGGAAAATGTGGAAGAGTGGTGTAATTGGAAGTAACTGGTTTTGAATTCATCAGCTGTGGAGAAGATGGTGCTGGAAACCCCCCAGTTTATATGTCAACACACTGTCTGACAAAAGAGCTAAAACTTTAAATGTTAGACACAAGCTGAGTGTACTTTCTTCATACAGACATCGTCTTCAGCAAGTCAACAGGAGAACATGCATGTCAGAGTTACACATGCTTCAAACATGAACACTGGATTTCAAACTCAGACTCGTCACAATATTTACAATGACAATTAAAACTTCACATTTACAAAAAAAGCTCAAGGTTTGAAAGTGACCACACTTTGTAAACTCAGTTCTGCATATAAAACCTGTACGTGGCCTCAGTTTCAAACCCCTACAGCGTCACTGATATCACACTTCAGTGACTGTGAATGAAGATGGGTGACTCATGATAAATAACAGCCCTGATGGAGGACGTGTCACATTGCATATGGCTGCATTTTATTATAGTTCAATCGAGATGCTAATCTCTGGCATTTTTACAAAGCTGTCCCAGCAAGGTGTGATCTGACTGTGACGTTGTGTCCCTAGTCAAAAATGGTTCCAGTTGGATGCCAAAACTTGCAATGTGGTTATGAGACAGACAGCCAGATGGTGACGTTGATTCCACGTCAAGTTATGGCCCCGTCTGACCCTCTCTTACAAACTCGACACCCAGTTTTTAAATATAAGAACGTGTTTATGCCATCTAGGTATCTACATTGTATTCCTGGCTATGGTGTACATAAGAGGAAAGTCTTTATCTAAACTGTCTTTGATTGCACATGGAAGATGTAGCCTTCAGGGATTCGTGCCAGAAAGTCAGGTGACATAGCATAAAGAGCACCAAGTTCACATGGGGAGGAAGTCGTATTGGATGACTTGGTCAAGCACAGGACTTACACCCAAAAAAGCGGGGTTTGTGACTTATGTCCTCTATTTCTAGACTCATCATTTTCAGTTTTATTATGTATTAAGTTGCTGAATTCACACTGTGTTGATAAACTTTGGAAGAATAGCCAAAGAGGCTCATTCATGTTAGCATCATCCTTCGACGTTGCTAGGGATGCTCAGTAAGTCGTCAAGGTAACATCCCAGATCAGACATCAGTGATCCCCATTTTGGAACTATTTTTTAACAATAATGGGACGTCTTCATTGGACATTCAAACGTTAATCGATGTCTCAGTGTTTATTGGTTCTGTGTAAGAAGACTGTTGAAAGTATAAACTCAGTGGAGGCAGTAAGAACTCACCAGTATCAGGATTTGGCTTATTTTATGCCCAAATTCAAGTTACACTTAAAATACCAAAAATTTGAAAAGTGGAAACGTCGCAAGAACAGTTTTGTCTTGGCTGAGGTGGAGAAGTTGGTATATCAATAAATCCAAATGTGACAAAGGGCAATGAAAGCAGCAAATAAATGATGACGTAAGCAAAGGATGTGGCTTGAATGTCAAAGACATTTACATCGTCTCATTGTGCCCTCTTCTTCTACAGTGGTTTAAAGGGATGAGTCTGGAGAATTAGCGCCACCAACTGTTTATCTTGATGCAGCCAACTCTGAATATCTACATAACGGTAATGGTTTTCTGGAAATTTGGCAAATGTGCATTACATTTCGATGGAAACTCAATCTTGAAACCCATCAGCTATCTATCTGATGACATTCTAGCCTCTGGAGGCAACGGCCAATATTTCAGGGTGTCTCCAGATATCCTTCATCTGGATATCTCCTGGCTACACCCAAACGGATGAAGGATATCAGAGCCAAGACTTCCTCCTACATGCGCCAATCATTGTTTAGAGTAATATAAATGCCAATAACTTTCTAAAAAAGGTTCCGAGATTACATTTCGACCAATGTGTTTGGCCTCTTTTGCTCTCCAAACTGTCAACCTGTATGCAACCAAAGCCTGCTCAAACATGATTGGTCAATACCACTTGGACTACAACCTGAAACCAAAACACTTCTGATCCCAAAATCCTTTCTGTTGCCTACGGATTCTGTATTCATATGGAGATATATGTTTAAAAAGAGTGAATGGAAACTTGAGTCGAATGTCTTAGTATAGTGTCGGGCCGACTTTAAACAAGAACAAACCCCTCCTGTGGGTTTGTACCCTCACCCTTTGTCCAATATGTAGATCTTAAGTAGCATTATACATAAAAAATGGGTCCCTCACTAAACAGCCATCCAGCAATGAGGTACACAGTGTGACAGTCGTGCATCAGGGCTAAGTACATGATATCTAACAGAGGCAGCAGGCAGAGCAAAATGACTGTGGTGGTGGATATGATGTCTAGAGGCAAACAAAAAGTGCAGGTGCTGCCGGTGAAAAGGTCAATTAACAACAAACCTCTCACAAGTGCCTCTTTAACCTGTGGAGGTATCACAGTGCTATTAGACAGGGAGCACATTAGTATTCAGTAGGGAATAAATGGTTAAGTTTAGATGTAGTAACTACATGAGAGGCAGCACTCACCCATCATCTTGTACGCAGCGGCACAGATCCCGTTGGTGTCACTGGCCAGTGTGGTGGGCTGGGGCGGTGGTGGGACGCTGGGTCTGTTCCGGGGTTTGGGGACGGGTCGCGGCCGGGGAAGGGAGCCCGACTGGTAGGGAGACGGGGACGGAGGAGCTACATCCTGGGTGGTATTGGAAGGTGGGGGGGTGTCTGGAGGGGTCGGGGTGCCTGGAGGTGAACCATCCATGCTCTGCTGTTCCCCACTGTGCTGGCCGAGTGACGCGGGCTGCGTTGGAGGGCTGGCCTGTGACGGAGGCTCCGGAGGCGGATGGCTGGGCGCTTGGATTGGGGGCTGGTTGCTGGAGTGGCGTCGGGGTGTGGCACATGGCTGGGAGACGGGAGAGGTGGGCGAGGTGGGCGAGTGGCTGGACAGGGGTCTGGGAGTGGGGCTGAGGGACTGGGATGAGCCTGAGGAGGAGGCATGGTTCATTGAATTACAGGGCTGGCTGGGTGGAGGGTTCGTCGGTTTGGGAGGGGCAGGAGCCTGCTTCTTGGTACCTGAAATTCAATGGTGAATCTTGTAATTACAGGTGGAAAAGAATAACATTTTGGGAAATGTCTTGTTCAGAGTTAGATAAGAAGATCTATACCCCACTTGAGTCTGAGTGGTAAATATGCTCTGGAGCTAGCAGTATGTTAGCTTAGCTTAGCACAAAGACCAAAAACAAGGCCTGTCAAGCTCCCTGACAACACCTCTGATGCTCACTAAGTAACATTTTATATCTTGTTTGTTAATACCCTACAAAAACTGGAGCATAAAAACAACAATTCACCAACATAGTGGACTATTTCCCAAAATGGCTATTTCTTTAGAAGCTTAAAAAGACAAAAATGTGAATCAATACATTGTAAAATAAACTTAGGAACTTAAGAATCACATCTCATTCTCAACACAAGGACAAACTGTTGAGCACATAAGGTCATAAATGTAGGCTGGGGCTTTACAACAGCCAAGCATTGTGAGTGATCAACACCACTTTAGAATCAATTCTGTTTTACAGGGAACAAGTGTATGTGATGGTGAAGTGAAAATCAGAGCAGCTCGGTCTGGCAGCTGGACCAGCTGTGAGTGTGGGGAGGTTTGAGGAGTGAGAGCAGCGTGTATGTTGAGTTACAGCAGAATGTCCGAGATTAACTCAAAAGATGGATTAGCATTCTTAGGTTCTAATAAAAATGATAACAATTTGGAGAGATCTCCCAAAATGGAAAAACATGTTTTAAGTGTCTTCATATCCAGGTGCCTTAAAGGAGCCCTATACAGCCCCTCTGAGATGTTGCAATCGTAAGTATTTCCTCAAATCACATACTATAACAAACAGATTTTAGGTCTGTGGGAAACATTAAATGCTCATAATAATCTGCTCCAAATCCAAGACAGTATCAGAGCCATTTTTGCTGCAAAAACATTTGTAAAATCATTGCAACATGCATCAAAAGCATTACAGGCCACAACAATCTCATACAAAGCCTAGAAATCCTGAACAGACTGTCTACACGACTGTCCATTCAGAGCATATCTATGATTCAGAGTCTGGGCTGGGATTGTCCTCGCATGGCTCTCAACATGGAGGTGGCTGATCCAGCAGCTGATGGTGCTAACAGCGCAAACAGTGCTAACAATGTAACAGTGCTGACTGAAGTGAATGGTGTTAACATGAGTGGGAGGACTGAAGGGTGGGTTGAATGCTTCCACGACAATGCCGTCCTGCCACTGTGGGGAGGGATGCAGTTATCAGAAGTATCTGTTGTATGAGCATAGTGCATAGCGGCGGCAACTAGCTAGCCAGTTGGATACACCAACAGGGACTCACATGTACTAACATGAACGTGCAACTTGATCGTCTACCCCAACAAAGAACAGAGAAGCTCAGATTTCAACACACAAAGGCAGCGTGACCTCATCCTCAGCTCAGGACACCATAACTCCACTATATCATTACATAGCAAATAATAGTTTGCTGCTACGTTATTCTCCTGAGTGACGTATAGAGCTCCTTCTAACTTCCTATGACCTGGATACCTGAGTAGCTTTATAGACATATGCCTGTTTGAACCAGTTTATCATACAGACTCTTACCTCTGCGCATCATATGCGGACTGGGCCCCATGGATCCAGCCCCGGGGGTCCCAGTGCCCAGCTGCCCTGTGGTGTGGCCCCCTCCTCCAGAGCCATTCCTCTGGAACAGAGGAGTCGGAGCAGGTGTGGAGTCACGTAGCTTTGGGTTGCTTTAGAGAAGAAAGAAAAAAGAAAATCTTAAAAGCTCTGAAATTCTGAGTATTGTTTAAACAGCAGAATCACCGCTAAATGTTTTTTTTATTGAAGGTTGGTGTTATTAAAATAAACTGCACTGACGTGCTGCAACGACAAACTTCACAAATCTAATCTGGTCGTCTCATCTAACTTTACGATCAAGTCTGTAGGACCAGAAGAATGCTGAACTGAATAGTGCTATCTGTCTGCATATGAAGGTTGTCCTTTCACCAGCTAAATCAAAGACACCCTTCAGTCGTTGCATAACAGGCACCAATGTCCAGGCTTTTCAAAGCAGTTTGGGCCAGTTAGCGTGAGGTTCCTGCTGATTCCAGTGATTTGGGGAGGAAGGCAGAGGGATGGGAAGTCGAGAGGCCCTGGGAGTGACTGTGAGCAGAATGACAGCAGCCATTGTTGTGCAGTGCCTGTGGGTTCAGCTCAGACGAGTCTGCATAGCTGGAACTGGTGGTGGTGTAAGAAAAACTTGTGGTTTTTGCGAGAGAAACAACAAGCTGAACCGTAGTGACCAAGAGTGGAAGAACTGTCTGCAAGATACCAGTGAAGCATGCATAATTCAACCAGCCTGACCTCACAGTGCAGGCACTAATGTATTCCCATAACATCAACCTTGCATGTCTAAAGGCAAATCTGTTTGGCATGCTGTGTCATTCTCCACCAGCAGCAGAGATGCAGAGAGTCAGCTCTTACCTGAGCTCCTCTGTGTGCTGGGCTAGAAGCTGCTGAGCGGCTGCGAGAGCAGCCAGACTCTGCGCCAAGCTTTGCTGGGAAGCGTCAAACCCTGAAACCCCTGATGGAGCTTGTGGCTGGGGCTCAGCTGAGGGCTGGGGGACCTGCGCGGCCCCGTGCCCTTGCGCCTGCACCTCCACAGGGGGTAAAGGAGGCTGGAAGGCAGGTGAAGTGTGCTGCTTTCTACCTAAGGTGTTACTGCCTCTACGAAGGGTGTGGTCCGAGTGCTTGTTAGAGGTGCTACACAGGGAGAGCGGGGAGACAGTGAAGGGGAAAAACAAAAACACCAAAGCTTTGATCAGAAAGTCACAGATTAGACCCGCAGACAGAATCACCAACAGTGTGTTAAGCATCATATTAAAATGATTTTAATAAAATGTACCCCAAAATGTACAAGGAGCAAAAGAGAGGGATCAGAAAAAGCAACTGGATTAAAGGCAAAATTATTTCTTAAGCAATTATTTGGAGTAAGTAATTAATGTAGGCGAGAGGAGCCTTGGAAACAGGAAGTAACTGTACTGATCAACTCCAGGCTGATTACTTGTCTTTGCGTGCTGTGTCGTTCTCGGGTCCCACCATACTGCCAGGCCTCTTCCTCTCAATGGTGCTACAGTCATAATCAAGGTGATTGTTGTGGTTGGATGCAGGTGTAGGCATCGCAAACATGCCCGACACATTGAACTCCACATCTGCCGGAAACAGAGAAGACAAGACAGACAGTTACAGTTAAAAATAAAGTGAAAACTGGGCAGGAAGTCAAGTCACAGTCCTAACAGATGCTAATAATCGGCTTTGTTCTTAACTGGCACTATTCACTCCTTCATAGGTCAAGAATATATCACAGAAGAGACACATTCATGCTTAGGTTCATACCGATGGGCAATTACAAGTCTCACATCCTGAAATTGGCTACAGACTGTGTGAGAAACTCCCACAGAAACAGCCAGTAATTAACTGAGGTCTTTATTGTTTTAACATGACAACACAATGTAAAATATCTGGACCAAAACAACTCAACTCAAGATAAATGTGCAGGAGAGCAAACAGACTTTAGTATAATAATTGTAACAGTCTTTATCCAATAACGGTGGTTACAAACAAATTGAATTTATGGAAAATACCTTGAGAAAGGCAGCTTTCCACAGTGATACTTGACCGACTTCTTCAAGCTGAATTAAGGGGAATATATGACATCTGTTTTCTAAGTTTTCATTGTAGCCTTTCAGCTGACCTCAAAGCACAAACCACAGTCGGAGCCAGGACAGACAGCAGTGATTTTAATCTTGGTCCTTGGGAGATTGATTACTGCTGACTCTTTCCTTCTCACCAGGCAGTTAATATCAATCGTACTCAGTGTGCATCCCTGGTGTAAAATAGACCCTAATTGGCAAAAAAGAAAAAAAGAGGAAAGTCTGAAATGACTGCTGCAGAGGAAACACAGAACCTACCCTCAGGAAAGAACCAGTCAGCATGCTGGATGATGGGCTCCACGATGGCCACCACGTGCACAGAGGTAGCTGCAGCCATCTCAGCCAGAGTCCTGGGTGGACACGTACAGTTGAGCACAAATGAGATGCTTTCCAACATAATGAGGGCGACACTTAAATGAGCTGAAATAACAGACTATTCTCTAACCACAGTAGACTAGGATCATGCCTCTCTGAGATTACTCCCCTTGTTTCACACAGTAATATTATAAATCCCCTCTCACCCCTCAGTCTTGGCCCACAGCAGGTTGGGTCCCAGGACGATGGCGATGTTGCTAGGAGTCATTTTGTTCACCTCGCTGTCCTGAGCCAGTTTGGCTAAAAACTTCACCAGATACCTGCAGGAAAACATGCAAGTTAATGAGCATAGGTGTAAAAATTATCACGTACAATGGAAGACACTACAGGGGCCCTATTATACTTTCCCTTATTATTAGCCATATATATATAATGTTACACAGGTAACACAGGTTTTTTCTACTTATGAGACAAGCTGAAGTCAGCTCGTGACAGACTTCTTTGTGTGGTCAAATCCTGGCACACTACTGCAAGTGTTTACATACTGCTACATGTAGCTACATGCTAACGTCAAGGAAACATGTTATCTTGGTTAGCGATGTTGTTAATTTCTCCCTGAATTCAGGTCATATTCCTGCTGGAGCATGTCTGGTTGTGTAGTTTTTGGTTTAGAAGCTTTATTGGTGATTTTTAAAGGTAAAAAAGTGCTGCTGCTGTCTGTTACAGTCTTTAGCCAGCTGCAAGTACACTGCTACATGTAGCTACATGCTAATGTCAGAGATATATGTTGGTCTTGGTCACTGATATTGTTTATTTCTCCCTGATTTTGGATCATATTCCTGCTGGAACATGTCTAGTTGTGTTTAGAAGCTTTAGCTGTCATTTGTAATGGTAGAAAGTGCTGCTGTCAGTAACAGTCATTAACCAGCTGCAAGTACCCTGCTACATGTAGCTTCATGTTAATGTCAGAGAAACATGTTGGTCTTGGCCACAGATGTTTATTTCTCCCTCATTTTGGATCATATTCCTGCTGGAACATGTCTAGTTGTGTTTAGAAGCCTTAGCTGTGATTTTTAATGGTAGAAAGTGCCACTGTACTCCATTACAGTCATTAAACAGCTGCAAGTACACTGCTACATGTAGCTACATGCTAATGTCAGGGAAATATGTTAGGCTTGGCCACTGATGTTGTTTATTCTTCCCTCATTTTGGATCATATTCCTGCTGGAACATGTCTGGCTGTGTTTAGAAGCTTTTACTGGTGATCTTTCACAATACAAAGTGACACAATTCTCCACTGGAGTCATTTCCCGGCTGTAATGACAGTGCAGAGATGCAGAGATATGGAAGACCCGGAAACGCTGATCAATTAGAGCAGACTGGGCTTTTTCAGGAGGGAGGTTTAAAGAGATTAGCACTAGAATGGAGGGTCTCAGAGGGGGAATGCAGGTGTACCAGCACGGACAGTATGAGGAAAATTCAGTGTTTTTTTTGACCACTAAAATATGTAAACATGTTCTAGTAGAAACCCAAAATACAATTATGAACCTAAAATGAGCATAATAAGTTCTCTTTAAAGCATTGCTGTCACAATCTTTGTAGCGTAGGATCAAACAACTAACCTCAGGTTGGTTTTGTTGTTCTTTGGTAGCTTATCACAAACAACCCAGAGGGCCTGCAGCCTCTTGTCTGGGTCTGACACACTGGAGAGACAGAAAATGAAAACAGAGCACATTGTTAGTTCAGTCTCCAGATGGATAAATGTCCCAGATTAATCATCTGAACATGTCTCATAGCCGCACAGTGATAGATCCACTCAATACTGGTAGATTGTATCACCAGTGATAATGTTAGGAGCCTTGCCTGGAAGCCTGGATCCATTCATCGTAAAGCTGGTAAGACATTAGAGGTTCAGGGAGTTCCCTCAGGTAGGACTTCAGTGCTCCTGAAACCACATGTGCACAGAAAGTCTCAATATTTAAATATATATTCTACAATGAACTTTAACTCTGGTTTGGGACATACCAGCGACAGCGTGGGGGTCGGAGTAGAACTCCTCCAGTTGAGAAGTGGAACAGTCCAGCGCTGCTTTTAACTTCTTTAGCTTGGACGCCCCTGCTGCGATCCTGAATAGACCCTGACACAAAAACACACACATAAAAACAAATAAACCACAGACACATCGCGAGCAAACAACAAAGTCACAAGCAGACATTCAATGTGCACATAAGACCCCATGCTTTCACTGAAACCGGCACACACACACTCCTAACACTCAATTACAGATCGACTCTGTATAAATCCACTACATAAACTTGCCCTGCCAGCTGCACATAATGAAACCTTAAAGCAGGCAAACAAACACACCCACCACTCACAGCACAGCGAGCTCTTTACTTTGACACATAAACAAAGGCCGTCTTCACGCCATAATGACACAGACTGGACTCACCAGGGAATGAATAGGTCGACAAATAACGTGCTTTACAGTTAACACTTGCACTCTCTCTAGCTTGTTTTTGCTCAGACGTGTACACACACACACACACACACACACACACACAAGAAGGAATCTGATTTATGATCAGGAGACAAGTAGATTCCATTGTATTCTAAATTTGTATCGCGGAGGGACATCGCAAACATTTCATAAATCTTCAGTGTTGCAGAACAGGTGACACTTTCTCTGGAAGTCACTGCAGATATGCAGGAGTTTCCCCTGTTTACAGTTTGTCTATCCGCCCATCTCCTGGAGTCTTGAGATGTTCATGTGAACAAACAGTTCAAAGCTTGGTTTCAATTATGTTGATGACCAGCAGAGACACTAATCGCAGCCACAGCTCCATGTGACTTTTAATGAGCTACAGCAGCACTTCTTTTTCTTGCAAGTTAAGACACGGGAAACAAAGCAGTCGAGTCAGTTAAAAAAAAAAAAAATCTCAATCTGTGTCATCAAAATGTACTTACAGGGAATTACCCTGGCGTTAAATAAGACTTAACTCTAAAGCATGAATTTCCGCTGGTTGTCATTTGAAGTTAAACCTCAGTTCCAAAACATCTGACCATGTACATTTATATTTAAAGCTGAATTCATTCATTTTTGGCTACTGGGAGGATGAGGACACGCAGCTTGTCATGCTATATAACATGTTAGCGAACAGCTGTTGTGTGGCCAGCTAATAAAGTGTTGTTGTGTTGACAGGGTTTCCTCCAATGTCAAAGAGAAACATCATGTCCTTAGGTTTGCTAAAACCTTGGCTTTTGTTCATCACATTTTGGTGCTGGTAATATACAGCAGCTTTATCAGAGCTTGCTTGCTGATAGCGTTCAACTGCTGCTCCTGTAAACAGGCTTGATAAGAGTGACAGCACTCAAGTTAAAAAATTAAAACCAAAACAATGAGCCTCATGAAAATCTGGGCTGCAGCTAGGATTATCGTCCTTGATAATTCTGGTGTATGAAATGTCAGAAAATAGTAAAAAGTGGGCATGGCATATTCCCAGAGCTCAAACTAACGTCTTTAAATGTCTTGTTTTGTCAGACCAATAGTTCAAAACACAAAGATATTCAAGTTACTATCATAGAAAAATAAGAAAACCAGCTAATAAAACCAGAAAAAAAAAATATTTTAAATGACTGGTCAATTGTGAAAATGGTTGGCACTGAATGATTTCAGCTCTAATCAGAATCAAAGGCTTCACAGTGCTGCAGAGCTGGGTGCTAATTCTTTTCTCTATTTGACACAGTGAGCAACCCCTTTCACATCTGAATCAACATTAATCTTAAGTATACTGCACTTAAAAGTACTGACAATTACTAACTATGGTATCAGTAGTATTGAAGGTTTGCATACGGCCACAAGACAAGTGACCATGCAGAGTAATTCACACTAAATCAGCTGAGTTACTCCTATGGGCCCTGACCCACCAGGCCAACAGTCGGCCATCGGGCTGTTGGCAAGCGTCTGTCGCACTAGTTTTTGCAGTGCGTCCCGCCAAATTGGCACTAGTCAGACCTTCCTCTCCTTTTTCCAGCCAATTCAGCATGTTGAATCAGCGGTGGAAGCCATCAGTTAAAGAAATCCCTCTGATTGGCAGTTCAGTTCAGCACACAAGAAGAGAGATGAAATGAGGAAAGTAAACAAAGAGCTATGGTCAAGAGGGTGTGAGATCAAAACAAACCTCTTATAATAGGTAAGATTATTCTCTTAGCCGCTGAGCTCTATAGCAGAGATGGTTTATAATTTTTTGTTACTGTTCACGCACGCACAGTAAATATGTAATATTCTTTCAACATCAGGTTGCGTTGTTAATGTGCTAACTGGCTAACTAGCGTCTTGAATCCATCCTGTCCTGTTCTTCTGGTTTCCCTTTTGGAATGACAAATACAAACTACCGCTGCCTGCTGGTGTGGGGAGTTATTTCCTCTCACACAAGTGCAGAACGTACACGGTCACTGACTGGTGGCTGTAGTGTTAGTGGTGTGTTCAAGTGCAACTTTTTGGCTGAGGCAAAGGCGACATGAGGGGATCCAACAGTCGGCCTTCGTCACCACAAATTCTTTAAGGTCAGTTTGGTATGTCTGGTCCTGAACACCAGAGGTTTCCTTGTCCTGTTCCTGTTTAATCTCTCCACATGTTAACTTCCTTACCTCTTCCTTCATGCCAGTCTCTAGGAGCATCATGACGCAGGCCTCTAATGGCAGGGCGATCTCCCTTCCGCTCCTTTTCAGGTGTTCATCCAGCCCTGTGCCAAACGCAGGCTTCTCCGTCCACGAGTCTAAACACAAAGAGAGTAATTAATGGTGAAGAATGGAAGACTGGAATTTAATTCACACTGTTTCAAATCTGAGAGACAAAAATGAAGTGTTTTAATGGAGCCTTTGCAGATTGTATAACCTGATATGTGATAAAAAACAATCAGTGCTGGCCCAGGACTCAGTGAACAGGCCTGTTGCTGGTCTGGACAGCAGATTTCTGGGTCAACAACTCTCCCTCGGGCCTAACCAGTCCTCACTCCCCCTACAGGGTGCCGTCAAATAATAACCACATGCTCCTCTGCAGCGGGAGTGACTGTTCAAGCCTCTTTCTGCGCACGTGTGTGTGAGCTAATAATCTCCTGAACGGGGAGGCAGAGGAGCGAGAAAAGGGGGGGAGAACTTGCAAAAACCAGGTGGGTGTGATGTGAGAAGAGGGTGGGGGTGTGTGTGGATTTCGTGAGTCATCACCACATGCTGGGAGACCAGGCTTGTCTGGTTGAGACCACATGTGTTTAATACAGAAAAAAAACAAGCTCCCTGAATAAGACACGGACTGCGAAAAGGACAAAAAAACTAGGAAGGAGCTCTGAGAGGAGACGTATGTTTGTAAAATGGAAAATTAGTTTATTTTTGGAGAGCTGAGAGGTTAAAACAAAGGGCTATTCTTTAATATCTGGGCCTCAGTTGCAGCCTTTAATAATTACGCAACTGAGGTAACTTCTGGTAGGAAAACAGACTGGAGTGATGTAATTGAAAGGTACAGGAGCTGGTTTCATTTGTCGAACCAGTTGGAAGAGTGAACAAGAAACTGTTTCTCCTCCTAGCAACGACTTGTCAGCACACCTTTGGGGCAAGCTTCATAAAATCCTCCAGTGCCTAACAGGAAAAGGTTTGTTTAAAGGGACCAAACAAAACAGGAACCAAAGAAAAACAGGAGTAGGCCCTCGGAAAAAGGTGCATTCTTCAGGAAATACGCACAGTCTCATATTATGTGGCACACAGAGCCTCCATGTATGTAATTTTTTCAACAGCGCTGTGTTAAATGGCTGCATTTGCAGAAAGCCGTGTTTGCATGTTTTATACCTTGCTGAGCCTGGATGGTTGGCAAGACGTTCTCCAGAACAGTGAGAGACTTTCTGTGGTAATCAGCTTGAGCTTCTAAGAGCTACGGGAACAAAAAACCACACAGGGAGAGACAGACCGAGAGAGAGATGAGGGTGAGTCGAATGAGACGAGCAGTAAAAGACATGACAGCAAAGTAAATAAACTAGCTGGCCAAGTCTGTGTTCCCCAGTTACTCTGCAGCTGTGAACATTCCCACAACAACTCATGCAAACACACATTTTTGGCTTGCTGATGAAACGCTATACTCACTGTTACGAAGTAGCGAGCATAGTCCCCTTCTTTTGAGAAGAAACTGTACATGTCTGCAGCGAGTTGATCCTGGGTGATAAAAACAGGAATGCAAACTGTTGGAGCACTGAGAGATGAAAGCCAAAATCTTTGTACTTTCTCCACAATGTGCTTTACAAGTAGAACAATAGTCTGTGAGACTGAGGGAAGCTTTGCTGATGTAAACTCTAAAAAAGCATGAGGACTTTTAACTGGTTATGAGACAGTCTCAGTTTAATATTGATGCCTCTGTATGACCGACATAAGCAAATGAAACAATCAGCGAGATGATTAGCTATTTCTATATAATATTCTTAAAGATTAGATGAAATTAAACATGCATTTTAACACGTTAAGATCACATTCCCGGCCATACTGTGCACCTATTTAACAATATATGCTGAAAAAAAATCTACATATTGTTATGTAAAAATCCTATTGTGTTTTCTTTCTGTAAAACAAAATATGACATATGCTTACATAACCTAGTACCGACCAATTTCAACCAATAATATCACGACATCCACCCATCAATCAATGTGCAACTTTGCAGCAGCATGTCAAGTGACAAGGACCAACCAATCACTGCCGACATATCTTTCCCTTCTTCCGTAAATATCAGTCTATGGTAAATATGGAAAAATAGATCATTTTAGTGCAGGGCTGTCAGAGCTTTACATCTGTCCCACGGACAATAGGCCTACACACTTATAAACAGCACCTAAAAGATCAGCTCTGCACTCAGGATTTCAGGTAAAAAAGGCTATGATACATTGCTTGTTAAGGTTGCTTAGCAACCTAAGACGCAACTTGTTGTTTTGAAAAATTGATCAAAAAAGCCACTGAAGTAGCGCCCAGCGCCAGACCTCACGTTTTCCAGGTGGTTAAACACGGCATGTGTATGACCCCTTTAGCTGCATAGAGCTAACATTAAGTTAGCTAGCTAGCAACAGCATGGTACGTTGGTGTGTAGTTTTCCCAAAATACCATGGTTACAGCCATCTGGCTAGAATTTATTCACTTTAAGGAAAGTGGGATTTTGCGCAAGGCATTTTACAGTGGACTGCTTCAGCAATTGCATTACATGAAGTATGCAATAGGGATTGTCCCACTGGCGTTACCCCAACAGGGCCTCACTGTTATGATACACCTATTTTTCAACAATCAAACCAAATTCCTCCTGACTTTACATCCTGCCTGACAAAATGCGTCAATGTACCGAAGCTAGATATTCTACATCTGGACTTTAACGCCTGTGCCCACGTCAGATTTCCCGCAAGATCATTTACGGCACACAGACCAGTAGAGCCTATGCTTAGAATTTCCCAAGCAAAGTAAGGAGTACATTAGCAAGTTAAAATGAAGCAGGAGGAGTTTTTCCTTTACAGAATTTTATGTTTTAATTGTATTTTGTGTTTATGGCTGATACACGGGCAGGATCAGCAGATCAGCAAATCAGAAAGAGCAAAGACTTGACCGAAGAACAGAAAAAAAGCTAAAAGGGACAGTGATCTAGCACAGGGGAAAACAGAAGTCAACCTCAGTCACTTATTCAGCAGATGGAGAGTCCATGCAGGACTCCATCTGCAGAAGTGCAGGATTTGTAAGGATTCAAAATTATTCCTGAATTAGCCCTCTTTCTCCTAGACAGGTATCTAATATGACTATTTTAATCCTTCATCTTCATCTTTCTTTATCTCGCTTCCAAAACAAAATGCACACTCAGGATCTTTTCAACAAGAAGGCATGGTGCTCATAGAAACAATACTGCTTTTGTCCATTGGGGTCGCCAAAATCAACACAAAAATCAAAGTTCCTTGTAGCTGCTTTAAAGATATTCCATCTCCACTACACAGTGTCATCCATCAAATGAATGTGTATTTCAGGTGGCACAAGGACAGACGTCAGTGGTCAGCGGTCAGCTAAGCCGTTGGTCTTTGCACTGCATGAGTCATAAATCCTCCTGCTGCTGGCAGGAGTCTGGTGAGACTGGGAGGGAGAACTTTTGAAGGGGAAACACGAGGCTTGACGCTTCCTGGATAGAAAACCTGACACATCACGCAGCCACAACACACTCAAACTCACCAGTGATTCAGTTCAATAGATGCAAGCACACAGACACACAGACACACACACAGACACACACACACACACACACACAGGCTGAGCTGACAGGGCATTTTCAGTCATTTGTGTGCGTCAGTTAACTGGGTCAGAGGGCCCAAGGGTCTTGGAAAGTCCAGTTGTTATGGTTATTCTTTTCCCAGATTCAACTTCTGATAAGACCTGATCCAAGTTTCTTTACCTCGATAAATGACCTCCAGTATGGCCTGCTGTGATCGTGATGAACCAACAGAAGCAGGACTCATTAATAAATATGCTGGTTACCTTGCAAAGCTCCATTTTGTTCATGGCCTCATCCATTTCCTCCTTTAGTAGGTCAGCCTTGGCCGTCAGTGCTTGAGTGTTTGTTCCTGAGATTATTGACTTGGTTGCCTGCAACCATCTGAGTTTGGAAAGACAAAGGGATGCACCATTTTTATTGAAGTATGGCCTGCATCGCCTCAAATTCAACATATCTGACATGATAAAAGAGAGTGAGTTATAGACGGACGAACCTTGCTCTGGCAGAATCATAGTCCAGCACCAGTTTGGCCAGCTGTTTCCTCTGCTTCAGGATGTTGGGAATGTCCACCTACAAAAGTTATATCCAAAACACATTAGGTTGAAAGAGCCAGAGAAGTTAGACTGACAAAGATCTAACAGTTGTTGGGATTGTTCTTCCTGGATGTCTGTCCTAAGATGTTTCCCCTGATTAGCATTTTTTATTTGCAGGTTTTTAAAGGTCTATTCAAGCTTTGGGGCATTTACTCTTATTTCAGTTTGTCGCGTGGGTGACAACAATGACATTTACATTTAAATGGCACAAAATTATCACAGCATGACACCTACAAAAGAGCAGTGCAGCTTGTTAGCACTGACAACTGCAGCAAGTGCTTTTGTACAGGAAACCATTCCAAATGAGGGGTTAATGGATGCAGAGATACACACGTCTGATAGCCAACAGTTACTCATGTTTGGAAAACGTGGTAAAACAGATGGCAAACCAAAGCCTGCAATGACAAAGTGCAAAGTCCTCATGTTTAGCTCATCTCGCCAGGATTGGAATCAGTTCTGTTTTGACTTCTCCTTCTCCAATCTCATAAGATCACATTACCACAACAGACCAATGTGAGTCCACGTGACTGAGCAGTGCAAACCCAAATGACAGAAATACAAAGAATGCTATAAATAATCTATTCCACTATGATTAGATCAGAGGTCCAGAGGGTGTGAGGTTTCTTACCTCTGCTAGCTGACTGAGGGGATCCAGGACGTCCTTCTCTATCTGCAGCTCATGTAGCATCAACTCCGATGCCAGACGATTCTCTGCATCACCGCATGTTTCCATCATCTTCCTGTGTACACACATATCATTACAAAGAGAGAGAGAGCGGGGTGTTAAAAGTGTTAAAATTAAAATCAAACACAGTCATATTTATGCCTCATTAACCAGTGAGGGGCAAGTATTCAGATCCTTAAGTAAAAGTACTAATACCATACAATAAAACTAGAATCGTTACTTAAGTGAAATTGCGTAATTATAATCAAGAAAATGTACTTAAAGTATTTAAAGTAAAGGCATCAAATGCAGAAAAATGCCCCCTGTGACTGTTTTACTATCACATATTATATAATCAGATTATTACTCATACATTACATTACAGGTGAAGGACCCTTGGGTCAAAGACAGAGCAGGGACTTCCAACTGCATATACTGTATATATCACATATTGCATTCTATGTTGCACTTGACATGATTCTCTGAACATTTCTGGGTCTTGTCTCGTTTGCACTTACAAGGATGTCCGTACACTTGGAATAATAATAATTTCAATTGTAAGTTAATGTTAGCTAACTAGTTTACTTCAGCGTTATGGATAAGTGCTCCACAGTGATATAGTAAAAAAAGCTAGCTCATATTATTGCATGGTGATTCATGGGTAACAGCCTATCATCAGTGTGTACTATAAATTTAAAGGGGGTTTTAAGACATTTTAATTATTAAAACAAAAATAAAACAAAGCCTGAAATTAATACTTGAATTATATTACCAAACAATAATTTGACACCCCCCCGCAGTTAGTCTGAGGAATCTCAGGGGTCGCGGACCCCCTTTTGAAGACCCAGGCTTCAATGTAAAAGCAGGATTTTACTGTTGTAGTCGATAGAGGTGGAACTCATTTATTACTTTTTTGTATAGGACTGCAACTAATAATTATTTTCATTATGGATTCATCTGCTAATTATTTTCTCGATCAATCAACTGATTGTTTGGTTGGCAAAAAATCCTGAAAACACAGAGAAAGGCAGTCACATTACCCCAAGTGACACAAGCGGAATGCTCATTTTGTCCCACCAATAATACTTCAACATTATAAAAAACAAATGAAAAATAAATTAAAAAATTACACGAAAAAAGCAGAAAATCCTTACTTTTATGAAGCTGGAATCATGAAATGTTACATGAAAGGTGACAAATATCAAAAGCTGCTAATTCATTTTCTGTCAACTCATCAGTTAATCAGTTATTGTTTCATCTGTATTCATATATTCTTTTAGGTGGTTTCATTTATAAAAAAACAAAACAAAACTTATAAGCTCTTCATATGTTTTTATGCAAAAAATCTTAATTTGTTAAAGGTGCTGTATGTAAGAATGTGGCCAAAACGGTTACTGCACTCAAATTCAAAATACTGCCGTGAATCGTGTCTGCCCCCCCTCCCCTACAGATTTGAGGTTGCTTGACAGCGGCACGCTGGAGATTGATTTGTTTGCCCACGGGTGGCTGCCGTGGCAGGGCTGTGTCGCCGTGTCCTTGATCTTCGGTTTTCCAGAGGACCGTTCGAGCAAGTCCGGCTTCTCTGCTGCTAACGCTGCTGCCGGGATACAGCTGAGGAGACTGCTAATGCTATGTACCGGGACACTGCTAATGCTGCTGCCGGGATACAGCTCATGAGGAGCCGGCTGCTAATGCTACGTACCGGGACACTGCTAATGCTGCTGCCGGGATACAACTGAGGAGGAGCCGGCTGCTAATGCTATGTACCGGGACACTGCTAATGCTGCTGCCGGGATACAGCTGAGGAGGAGCCGGCTGCTAATGCTATGTACCGGGACACTGCTAATGCTGCTGCCGGGATACAGCT